TTGATGCTGCTATTGGTAACAACAAACAACATCAAAGAGACCTCTTATTAAGGTAGGCGATCTCTTTAATGCTGCTATTGCTACTTAAATATTAAAGAGACCTGTTATTTATATAAGAGGTCTCTTTGATGCTGCTATTGCATTTCGCAATTTTTTTGCGCTACTTTCTTCTTTCATTAAAGAGACCAGTTATATTTAATAACTGGTCTCTTAAGTTATCTCACTTTTTTTTGTATAATTTTTTAATAATTTTTTTTCCCTTTTTATATCTTATATTTGTACAACCGATTTTAATATTTCCCCATAAAGCTTATCAATTAACTAAAAAATCATAAAGTTAATTCAATATAATAATTTTATTGTACCATTTGTTTATAACATGTTATTTGTAGTATTTTCGACTTGTAAAATTGAATTCTTAAGTACTGTATTTGGTTGTGGTATGTATTTTTGTGTCCTATTTTTGGATTGAAATCAATTTGGTGAAATATATATATATATATATATATATATATATATATATATATATATATATATATATATATATATATATATATATATATATATATATATATATATATATACATAAATATAATTTTTGGATTGAAATTAATTATGAACAAGACATGGAAAAAAAAAATTGTACTTTCACAAATGATCAATAATTGATGGTGACACACTATCTCGGAAATCCTGGATCCGCCACTGGTTGTATGTGCATTTGTACTTGAACCATAATTACACATAGAACATAAATAACCAATAGGGTATTAGCCTAGTGCGTAGTTAAGAATGAAGAAGGGTTGTGTACAATATAGTTAACAAAACACAAGTTCAAATCTCATTGTACTTAAAACACATTTATATTGTTGTTGTGACTCATTTAGAACAATAATACATATTCTGGTTACACTTTCAAGTTTTGGTCTAAAGTTGATGAAAACTAGATCTAGAGAAATTCAGTGAGATAAAAATAGCATACGTGAAATAATAATCATTTATAAAAATTATGCTATGAGACAAACTAATTAAACAAGACGTATAAAATAATACGAAGCAATCCTAGTGCGATGGAGAAATTCTAAATTATGCATGGTAAGCAAACTATGTAGAAAATATAAAGATTCTCTTACTAAATTGGTAGAAACCTAACGTTAGCATGCTTAGATCAGAATCAATCCTTATCCAGAGGCCTAAATAAAAAGTAATAATAAAGCTTACATAATATTATAGTGCGAATCATATCGTCTTGTGAGCTGTGACATTTTTACCTTATCAATAATAAACGTACATTTCATTAATAAGAAATTAGGCACATCATAGAATAATATAATTCCGTGTGAATATTATTGTTTTTATATTCTAAACACCATACATCAATCTTTTCTGATAGATTGTAAAGGATAATGGTATACAAATGAATTTTATGTGATCCTAACTCTTAAAAAATTAAATTACCATCCTTCACAAATATTGCCACCAAAATTGTCTCAAATACTCTATGTTGTACCTAATTTGTACATTCTATGCATCCTATATATTTTATCCAAAAAATTCAGAGTTACTCTGTATATGCTTGTACACTAACACATTCTGTATATTTTCTTGCGACTCTCATTCTCAAGTGTACATTTTTAAACATTAATATATTTGGTTTCATATTAGAAAATAAAAAATAAAAAAAATGATGACACATTTAATTAGAAAATTCATATCTTATAAAGAAAATTCGTAGCTTACAAGATTACATATAATAATATTCTCAACATAGAAATTACTTGATAATGGTACCCCTCTAAATTTCAAACACCGTCAAGGGATTATTGCAAATTTTCCAAGGTTAATGGGAAGTCAGTAGTCAGTATAACACAATGTCACTACTCACTAGCATACTCAATCCCATCACCCTCAAATAGTCAAAATTCACCATACATTTGAACCTTAGGTAGTTGTAGCCCGTGCATTACACCGGATTGCTAGTTTTTTTTTTAACAAATCAATTCATTAATCAAAAGCCATACGACATTTACAAATGAAATCTAAATCAACAAATACATAAAATTGAATCAAATAAGGGTTTCCTTTATCAAAACTACGATCGTTGAATAGATCTTGCAGTGTGGTACATCTCTCGCACACATCGCTGGAATATACAACCTTTTTCGGAGAGACGGTCTACAATTTGTTGTAGCCGTAAGGATGATTTTCATCTGATTCACTTGAAAGCCTTTGAAGATTTGACAACCGTTGCGATCCCAGACTACTCTTTACCAACGAACTGATAATAAGGCAAACGATGATTACCTTTTTAATAAACCGTAACACAAAAAAAAACCCTAAACAAAAACTAACGACTTCACCATAGGGAGACGGATGAATATCTCGATCTACACTACTTGTGTAGATTTATTGAAAACTAAATTGCAAAACTAAAAAAAATTAAGGAAAATGGTAAAAAATAGTCTAATTTCCGAAGAAATTAGACTATTTCCAGCCTAAACGGCTAAAAACTTGGAGAAACCCTAGAAGAGAGGAGGAGAGAAGAGGAGAGGCGAGAACTCTTGTCAAATTCTCACCGGATTGCTACTTTAATTATTTCTTGTGATTATATATATGTATTTGATATTTATGGTGTCTTTTTTTTTTTTTCTTTTTTTATTTAGATCTTGTGATTTGCAATTATATATTCATGTTTATAACATGGTTAATGATTAGCTTAGATAGTTAAATAATCGTCCATCTTATAGAGATAGACGTTCTTTGAGTAGGTTCATTACCTGATTACCCTCATCAAGTAGATTAGGAGAAATTGGCTTTTTATTTTGAAAATTGAAAATAAACGAACTTAAATGTTGAATGGTGGTCCTACCCTGGCGGCCTTATGGCTCAAAGTATCTGGACCGTTTTAAGGTTACCATTGGGCCTACAGGAGAATTTTGATTGAAACTAGTAGCTGATTGAGTCATTATTGGTAAAAAAAAAAACAATTCAAGTGCATGCCTTAAACATCACGTAAGTTGCAATAAATTTCCTTAAGTAAATGTAAAACTAATGTGTTAACGTAAGTGAAAGTCAAATAACATATTCCTACTTTCCTATCTACCATTGGACTTTAGAGTTTGTAGTCATAATCTTGATATGACTTTCATCTTCTACCATGAAAATAATGTGTGACATTCAGGAAGCGGGCTGGGGGGCTGCTGGGGGCACGAGTGCATGACATTGTGCTACACAATGTTGATTTGGCCGTGTCTAGGCTAATTGTTGAGGTCGGCATCAGGGCTCATGATTTATGACATGTACGACTGCATATTTTAACATAAGCCCAATGGTACGACAAGACCCAACATGTGACCTATGTACTCGTGTTGTATGTGGCTTGTGCCAAGGTTGGTCCTTAAACCTAACGTCATGGTACAATACTACAATGCCAATACACCATTCATGCCCATAAAAGAAGATTTTGTTACAAAGTATTTAAAGGTATGACCTTTTTTCTCAGATAATTTTTTGATTAGTACACTGTAATTTGTGTAGAGTTACAAAAGGGAGCTGAAATTTTTGTGTAGCATGCTCTAATTTTTGTTTACCACTTAAAATAGCTGGAAATTATAATGATTCCATGCTAAAAAGTAGGAAAAATGAATGATACCATTTAGGTCAAGAAGCATTTTTGCAATCTAAGGCCCAAAGAAGTTTATCATTTAGCAAGTAACCAACTGGACCCAGCCCACATAGAAAGAAAGCCCAATAATTCTGGATCTATGTGGCCAGTGGCCTAATAACCTACATTTTCTCAACCACAATGGAAAAGGTAATGCAAGTACAAAATGTAGGAGTATGAGAGAATGTTGTGGCAAAAGCCTCATTTTCAACAGAATTCAACATCTTAGAATAAATTACGGAGTAATAAAGCGTTTTATGATACAAATATAAGTCATAATCGAGTGTATTATTACCAATAAATTTGTCTTCAGTTTAGTCTCCAAATCTAGACGAACACATTACACGTGTTCACATTCTATTTCATTTTATACTAATTTGATCACACTTGCTTAATCCCAATAGATCCTATATTTTAATCGCCTAAATAAATAGTTGTAAGAGTATTATGGCCTTTATGGGTGATTGGAAATTTGACCATCAAAATTGCTTCCTGAAGTCCTAGTGCAATTCTTTAGAGTATGCCCCAAAAAAAAAAAAAAAAAAAAAAAAACATAATAGTGTGTCGTATTTTTTATATTGTTTGAGGAGCGGGCTTCTTTGTGGTTGAGTAGTTGTTAAAATCTTCAAAACTTCGTGTCAAAAAAAATAATTCTTCAAAACTTATTTTCTTTTCCGGTTGTCTTTCTAATTTTGAATACTTGATACTCCATAATATTTGCTTTATTTATTACCTAAACTAATTTGTTTTTAAACGTCAATCAGTCAATCCTTAATAATTAACTGTCTCTGATTTTGTTGATTTGTATTAACCATTGATTTTATTTATTGCTTAGAGAGGTTTTTTTTTATTTAAAATAAATAAATAAAGACATCAACATTTCACTCCTCCCTCCCCCTTTCTTTATATGGTAGAGATCATTGATTCTTGGGGCGAAATTTTTAAGCTGTTACTCTGTTAGTGTTATATTTATGTGCATAAATGTGTTAATATACATATCAGATTTGATAAGTATTGAACTATTGATTAGTAAACATCAATGCTTATTAAAAAGTTTAAAACATACAAGGTATTGGCTATTAACATAATAACTAAGTCATAAGTTATTATTTTAATATACAATATACACTAAACAATTTTCCTATCCATCTCAAATAAAGTTTTATCTTTCCTCAAAAAAAAAAAAAAAAAAAAAGTTATAATTTTTTAGGTCTACGTTTTTCTTCTTAGGAGCTAAGGCACTTAAAAAAAATAAAAATAATATGTTATCCTTCTACTACAAGCATTACCAAAGAAAAGCTCTTGTAACCGTCAAAAAAAAAAAAAAAAAAAAAGAAAAGCTCTTGTAAAACTGCCACTTGGAATTGGAAAGCTCTGTCAAGTCAGAGACCACCATTGCAGTAAAATTTTTTCTTCTCATCTCTCCTCCTTTTCTCAACCAATAAATTCAATCTTTTTCAAAAGCAACCATAATTCTCACTATAAACAAACTCACAAATTCACAATAACTAAAAAAATTTCTTAAAAAATAAAAAGTTTTCCCCTTTTCTCATCAGATTCCACAAATCTAATGTTAAAATTTCAACAAATCTTCAATTTCAGCAAAACCCATTAATTTGCAATCTGATTCTTTTGTCAAAAAAATTGAAGAAAATTTTTGGGTTAAGTTGAACTGATTGAATCAGGAACTGGGTAATTCTTAATTTACAATGGGAAGTAATAATGAGAGAGAAAATAATGTGCAAATGGTCAATTATTATGCTGAAAATACTGTATTTGTTGCTGTGGGAAAGAATTTCAAGGAGAGTGAATCTGCGTTGACATGGGCAGTGAAGAAATTTGGTGGGAAGAAGAGAATTTGCATCCTTCATGTTCACCAACCTCACTTGCTCACTTTTTGTAAGTTCTTCATCTTCTTTTTCTCTCTTCAATCTCATTATTTTATGATTGAGAATTTTGGAATTGTGAATTTCTTATGATATTTGGAGGTTGAATTTGGTGTGGTTTGGTGTTGATCTAAGAAACAGTGATTTCTTTTGATGTTAAGTGTGATTGACTCCATTATATTGTTAGACCCTTGTTTACTTCACGATCTAATGGAACAGTGAATTAATTTACCACTCCTTTGGTAGGTGGTAATAAATCGCGGGTAGACTGATTGGAGGTGATTTATGGAGTAGTGAAATTTGTAGTTTTGGGTTGCAATTGATTGCCTTATTTCTAACACTTTTTGGGGAGTTCAGTCTGAATTATAAGTATTTAATGTAATATTATAAAGTATTTTTATTAAAATAAGATTATAAGAATGGGTTAATTTTCCCATTGGAATGAAGCCAAAAGAGTAGTTAATCTTTGGGTTTGGATTATACTAATGGAATATTTCAAGGGGCTCTTTGGAACTGTTTGCACTTCATTTTTATGGCGAGGTAGCAGATGGCCATGTTTGGAATTCGGACCAAAGGATAAGTGGAAATAGCTTCATTTGTTATCACATGTTTTTCACACAGGTGAAATGCTTACGTTGTACTCTCCCTTAACATGCCCGTGCTTGCCTGGTAGTCAGAGGAGCCTGTTTAGATGTATTGAGGTAATGTTGAGGCTTGTGAGCAAGATAGGATTGACCTACTATGGTGGAAAATTATATGTTGTGTTTTAGCTTATTGTCTTAGTAGTTAGAATTGTCGTAGTAATGAGTTTGACAGCCAATTGCTGAAGTAGCAGATCCTTCATTGCAGTTGCACTTGAATATAGTATGGCATGGTTGCATATCTACCGCCTTTAGGAATAGTTTCTATGTTTTATGATATTAGGGATAAGCCTGATTGTCGTACAGTGGAGATATAATGGCACTTTGGCACTTCAAGTTGAACCAAAAACATGGAACACTTCCTATAGGTTTCATAGTCCAACCCTTAGACCCCTTTTATATTGGAGTTTTAAGATCAAATCCACCATACCTCATTGTCCATTTTAGTGTGAACTATGAGATTTATTTTCAACTCGAACACCTTAATGGTTGAAGAGAGGTGGACGCAGGCCTGAGCCCCATGACTAATTGAATTCATTGACCTATTCAATTCTGAAACTAGTTTTTGGATGTCTACAATGGCGTTTCAGATACTTTATTATTCTCTATCTCTTATATGATGGACTTAGGGATCATTTGCTGCGGCATTTTGAGTGTTTAACTAGGCCAACGCCAAACTGTCAAGTTTCCTGTGATGGATCTGCTTATAGTGAAATAAAATTCCCTCGTCCATTAATGCCACTATCAGCTCACAAACCAAATATTTTGGCAGTTTTGATTATTGGACTGCTTATTTGCTGCATTTGAGCAACTTTTTATCGCTTGATAATTATCATTGTGAGCCATTACTAAAATACTAACAGAAGTATTCCTGTATTTCTACTGTTTAAAATACTTCAGTAGATGGGAAGTTATCAATCAGCAAATTCAAACAAATAGCAGTCAAGGCACTCCATGAATCACATATGCAGAAACTCCATAAACTCGTCAGTCAATATGTTTCCTTTGTTTCTCAAATGGGGGTAATGCTCACTTTCTTTATTCAGCTGTACTTCATACTCTTTATTGCATCTTTATTTTTTTGAAAATGTTTTTGTTGGTTTGTCCATCTATATTAAGGCAGTTGACTGTATTGACTCGTGTCCCTAGGTGCGTGCAGATAGGATGTGGATAGAAATGGAGACTGTTGAGGATGGAATAGTTAAGATGATTGCTGAGCATGGTATCAAATGGCTAGTGATGGGAGCAGCGGCAGACAAAAATTACACAAAGTATGTGGAGCCTTTTGAGTTTGCATGGTGTGTTAAGATATCATATTAGCTGGAGGATATCAAATAGAACTAAATATTTTAACTAAGCGAATATGCAGGGAAATGGCTGACTTGAAGTCCAAAAAGGCAAAATATGTCTATGAACAATCCCTGGTTTCCTGTCACATTTGGTTTATTTGTAGGGGAAAGCTTATCTGTACAAGGTTCCTTCTTTTCCCTCTTCTTTTATGTATTCCTTCAGTAAAAGGATGTCATTGCAAATTTGTTACCTTTCCTCTTCTTTATCGCATATTCCAGTCTTGTCTACTCTTGGTGCTCTGAATAACTTTAGAAAGCTTATATAAACAGGGAGGGTATTAAAAACTATCCTGGGGTGGATATGTCAGACGCAGCTGAATCGCAAGTTTCTAATATGGCCACCAAAGAAATAGAAAAAATAAGATTAGCTGGTCCTGGTGCAGAATATCCCCCAATTTCACAACCTCTAGATTTGAGTGGTGTGGCTGAAGAAGTAGAACACCTGAGAGTAGAAGATCGTCTCGTAGGTGGACTATCATTGGATTCAGATGTTTCATCTGAAGGGTCTTTGTCAGGATCTTTAGCATCAGACGTGGTGACTGAAGAAGTAGCAAGTGTCAGAGTAAACGATCTTGGTGCCAATACACTATTGTTAGAGGCACAAGTGGTTGCAACTGAATCACAAGATTCTAATATGGCCACCAAAGAATCGGAGAAGATAAGATTAGGTTGTCCTGGTGCAGAATACCCCCCAATTTCACAACCACTAGATTTTAGTGGTGTGATTCTTCCGAGAGTAGAAGATCGTCTTGTAGGTGGACTATCATTGGATTCAGATATTTCATCTGAAGAGTCTGAGTCAGAATATGTAGAATCAGATGCAATGACTGAAGAAGAAGTAGAACGTGTCGGCGCAAAAGATTTTGGTGCCAATTTACTATTGCTAGAGTCACAAGTGGTTGCCAAAGAATCAGGGCCTGTGAGAATGGATTGTATGGCTGATGATCACAGATCACCCCCACGGCTGACATTTCGGGAACGTGGCTCCATCCTCCGGGCCTGTTCTGTTGATTTCAGCTCTGCTATGGAGAAGGATACGGTGTTAAAATCTCCAAACAATAGTAGGACTTCAAATGATTGCATAGACAAAGAGAAAGAGGACCATGGATATGATAGCAACTTGCAGTTATTCAAATTTCGTTCTTCATTCAAATCATTGTCGTCTGAAGGCAAAATGGTAGGCCTCATGAACTCTCTAGCAATTGCATGTTAATCTTTGTCTAGCTCTGAGTTGCTGAAAAATGACATGCTAAAAGACAGTTGGCTATTTTTGAAGAAACGAACAGGACTATGATGTTTTGAGTCTTTTTGCCCTTTAGGACACTGACTGATAGGAAAACTTCTTGAAAGCTCACTGTGGTTGATAAATGTTTGCACAGGCAGGAAAAGCTAAACTGCAAACACCAAGAGAAACTTATGGTAGACTGGAACAAGCCACTTCTGATGCTGAAAACTTGAAACAGTTAGCGTTTGAGGAATCAGTCAAGCGATGGAAAGCTGAGGATGAAGCCGTTGATGCTAAGAGAAAGGTATCTTGCGCTATAGTATACTATCGTCTTCTTTTTTCTCTAACTTTTTGATTGTCCTACTATAAAGCAGGAAGGTATGAGTGAAGTGGAAGGCAAGGATCTGATTATTGGGTAGACCCCGACCCTAGTCAATTAAATTTACTGTGATCAGACTGATCACTCTAAATTTTTTAATTGTTGCAGGCTGATGCTGCAAAAAGTAAATATATTGAGATGGTGAAACAAAGATTAGCAATGGAGGAAGCTTTGGTAAAAAGGAACCTAGAATGTGGAAGAATCAAAGAAGAATATGAGAAGTGTAAGAAAGAACTTCCAATGGTCCAAAATCAATGTTTTGGCCTAAAAAGCCAGATCACAGAATCTGAAATTGCAGCTAAGGAGCTGGAGGAGAAGATTATTTCTGCTGTTGAGCTCTTGATATCTTTCAAAAGTCAGAGGGACCAGTTACAGCTGGAGCGTGATAAGGCTGTCCTAGAACTGAAGAATCTGGAGAATTTGAAGCAACAGAGAACTGCAGCATTGTCCGGCCTACAATTTTCAACATTTTCCTTGGTGGAGATTGGTGAAGCAACTTGCAGTTTTGACCCTTGTAAAAGAATTGGAGATGGGAGATGCGGAAGCATTTATAGAGGGATCCTTCGACATGTAGATTTTGCTATAAGGATGCTGCCAAATGATGGGTTCTTGAGCCAACAGATGTTTGAACATTGGGTAAAATCGTAAATGTACCTTAAGTTTGTACAATCTTTTCTTATTTTTATATGATCAATCTGAACCTCACATATTAGCTATGTTACTCGGACTCTTTATTTCGCCTCAAGTATCCATGTTGGATTTTGGAGACTTGACACTTGACTTTTCAAAATAATAGCCAAGTCCGAGTAACATATCTTTTTATAAGGGGAAGACATTTATAACTTAATATGGGTTGGGAATTGCAGGTTGAAATTCTTAGCAGAATACGGCATCCAAACATAGTGACTCTTATTGGGATTTGTCCGGAAGCGCGTACTATAATATATGAGTACCTTAAAAGAGGTAGTTTGGAAGACCAGCTAGCATGCAGGGGGGAAACTTCCCTTCTGCAATGGCAAACTCGAGTTCGCATTGCAATAGAACTGTGCTCTGCCCTGATCTTCCTTCATACAAATAATCCTCCAATTATTCATGGGAATTTAAAGCCCACTAAGGTCCTTCTTGATGCCAACTTTAAGAGCAAACTTGGTGACTTGGGCATCTTCTTTTTGATCCCACAAAATGAGATTACTATCAAAAGCCAACACTGTACCTCTGTTTATGTTGACCCAGATTTTCTTGAGACTGGAGTAGTTACTCGAGAATCAGATATATATTCATTTGGGATGATACTTTTACGACTTTTAACCGGTAGAACTTCTTCAGGAATTGTGAAGGATGTCAAATGTGCCTTACAGAAAGATAAGCTTGAGTTTATATTGGATTTTTCAGCTGGAGACTGGCCGATTAATCAAGCAAGGACACTGGCTCGAATGGCATTACAGTGCTGTGACAGAAAACCATCAAAACGACCTGACCTAGCTTCGGAAATCTGGAGTGTTCTTGAGCCATTGAGAAAGTCATGTGACACTCAAGCATCATGCTTGCAGAAGAAGGAAAACCGCCGGCCTCCCCCTCACTTCCTGTGTCCAATTTATCAGGTATATTAAGTTATTAAAATGCCATTTTTGCAACTTTTACCACCAGTATATATGAATATCCGTATTAGAGTAAACAATTATCTTATACCTACTTGAATAAGTTTAGCTCACAATGATGTTGTGTTGGAATATTAAACTGATGAATAATGCATATTTCTGTATTGCATTGCTGGATAAGATGGAATGAAAGTAGTTAAGTTGCCTGATAAAATGAATTTTAGGGGCACAATTTATGCTCTTAACTGTTTGCTTTTGTAACGTAATCTACAGGAGGTTATGACGGATCCGTGTACGGCAGAAGATGGCTACACCTACGAAGGAGAAGCAATAAGAGGATGGTTGGACAGCGGCCATACAACTTCACCCATGACAAACCTGAAACTTTCAACCTGTGATCTGATCCCCAATCATGCTCTTCAGTATGCGATCCAAGAATGGCTGCAGGGCTCATAATTGTACATTCTACACATTTCTAGCCTTAAGGTTGCACATAATATGGCTACAGGGTATACTTCTGTAATTCTTTTATCTGTCATACTTGGTTAATAGTTCTGCATATATACCAAAGCCTTAATAATAAGCCTGTGTGGAACCCAAGAATGACCAAATGCATACTGTTGGAAGATATATAATGTTAGTAATTATATTATGCTGGACTACTGAGTATCTAAGTTTACATACTATAATTACTAACATTAAGATGTACTCCAACTTATAGACAATTTTAGCGATAATTACACTTATAATTAGATAGGTTCTGCAGTACAGTGAAGACTAGGGAGAACTAATATTTACCTGTGTTCCCTTCATGTGTTCAAAAGGATTCTGAACTTTGATCAAGAGTTTTATCATCTTTTTAATCTAATAATTTTTTATTAATCCATGACACAATAAAGTTTATTAGATTAATTATTGTAGGCATTTATTCACTGTCTCCTGTCTAATTATCAGATACTTGTCTCAGTGTGCAAAAAATGTTTTGGTTGGCGCATTGCTCATTTTAGTAGAACCAATGTCTTAAAGAACAGGAGAAAGCGAGTAGCTAACTAGCTAGCCTGCGGTCTAGTGCACGCCCATTTGCCCACCAAGTTCAACTCACTTAAGGGAGAGGGGTGAAGGGGGTGTATGTAACCTTAGATAGGCAGGTTAGACCCATGATAATATGCATAATGGTGTAGTTTAAAAATATACGAAGTACGGAGTGTATATATTTCGCATTCATCAAACTTGCCTAATCACCATGGCAAGTAAGTGAAATAACACTCAAATAATTATCCATGTTACAAAAAAAAAGGCGCTAATTGTGGGGAGGAACTCTTTTTAGCAAAGTTGGTTGATAAAGGACTCATTGCTCCACATTGATGAAAGTAGATGGGACTCATTTGATTGGGCTGGCAGGTCCCCGAGTTGTTCCATGGGTATGTTGTATGATGAGAGTTGCCTATCTTTCATTCTTTCCCTCAGCTTTCACCATTATTTGGCCTTAAGTTCAATCAATAATGAAATCTATTAGCTCAAAATACTAAAAGAAAATAGTAGGCAGTCAAAAGATAAATTTGTGTTTAGGTGATATCTGAAAAGAAGTTGGTCCTTGCGTTTCAAAATAATTGTATTCCGTAACATTCTTTTTCAAGGAATTACATAGTTGACTATTAACTTTCATCAATATATAAGAAAACTATAATCACATAAGATCTTGTTAAATATGAAGTTGTTTACAATAACAAAAATCAACGATAGTAAATGTAAATGACAAAGTAAATGCAAATGGTGAATTCTCATTGGTTAACCTAGGTAACTAAATTGTTAGTGAAAAAATGGAAAAGTTAATCACCTAAAGTACCCTTAAATCACAATAAAATCTACAATAAAGTCTAATATAAGTATGCACTACCTCCGTTATTTTTAATTGTTCCATGTTGATTTGTCAACACTCTACATTATTCACCCAATTCATTTTGTCCATCTTGTATTAATTATACATAATAAAAATTATAGTTATGTTGGTCTCATTAAATTCGTTTTGAAATATATTTTCCAAGTATAAAATCTTTATAATCATAGATATAAGTATCAAAATTATGCTTTGCAAACATGCTAAGTTAGAATGGAACCGCTAATAAAAATTAAAAAGAAATTTTAATATTTACTCATAAAAAGTTACGATAGTAAATATGTTTCTTTATACGAAGTATATTTTATAGATGCATTAATTTCACCCAAATTCGAACATGTAATTGCCTAAACAATGAGATATTGACCAAAGTAAATTCAAGATCAATAACATGTTTGTTCCCGATTGAAAAGGAAACTATTATAGCTTTAATTAAATACGGAATATTAATACCACTAATTAATACGTAATCTTATAACGAATTGCTAAACCAGTTTACTTTTAAAAATGTAATTAATACACGTACTTACTTAAGAGATAATTCCAAATCAAATACTGTACTCTAGATGAGAACAATAAAATGAGATTTGAATTTCTCTTAGTAATTTTCCTTGAAAAAGATAGGAGATCTTTCTATTATTAAAGGCTTAAAGCAAGGAAAAAAAAAAAAAAACAAACACACACACAAGGAGAGATTTATCAAAGGTGGCATTTCCCTTGCTCTTCTTCTTCTTCTCTCTCACCGTCTCTAAGCTTTCGCCGACCACCTTTCTTCACGTTCGTGCCCTTTTTCTTCCAGAAACTTCTTCCGTTTTCTCTCTCCTCTTCAACCCAGAAAAGCGCCGGCCATTCTCTATCGATCGACGCTTCTGATTCTCTTTCCTTTGAATCATAAAGTGTCAACTCATCACTGGGTACGTCACACTTTTTTTCAAACTATTCAGCAATAAGTTTTTGATGAATTATTATGATTTCAATATTCTTTGTTGTATTTCATGCCTTCCCAGATCATTTTACGCCTGAAACTTTGTAAAGTTGTTTGAATTTGATCTGATTTTTCCGGGGTTTTGGAATTTTGGTGATCTGCACCCTTTTTGTTTTGAAGGGTTGTAGTTGGTATTTTGATTTCTTAGGGATTTTTTGTTGATTTGGGATCGTCGTGGATCCAATGTAGATTGTGGGTATCGTAGGTTTATTGCTCAATTTGATTTTAGCTCATTGATTTTGGGTGTTTTTGGTGGGTTTTGTTTTCTGATTTTCCCTTTACTTTTTATTCATTTAGTATGTTATTAAGTGCTATTGATTGATTTGATTCGTGCCCTTGTTATTAAAGAGTGGTCTTTTTGTTGCTTGTTTTAGGTTTTTTGGTGAATATTTGTGTACATTGTGCTGTATGTTGTTGGCAAATTTCTGTTGTGTGGAATTTTTGAGACATTGTTGTTTGAATTGTTTTTTATTACTTTTGCGTATATGGAATGCATTGCTCGATTGTTCGGACTAGTAAAGTGTCAGGTTGAGCAGTCATGGTTTAGTACCTAGCCTTGTGTTGAAGATCTCAAACAATTTTTAGAAATGGTGTAAAGCGCCCTCTTGTCTGGTGGCGATCAGGTTGATTGGAAAGTCTTACTTTGTAGTTGTTTAGAACATTTAACTGTTCCGCCATTTCCGCTCTCATCTCATTGAAAAGCTATGCAGTGTACTCAAAGCTTTCAAGGATTAATATAAGCCTTGAATTATTTGGAAATGCAGTTTTTGAGAATGAATACGGTCTCGGCTTTAATCAGGAAGGAATTTGGAACTCACTTGTGGCTGGTCCAAGAACCAATAGAATGGGTAATTATTCATGAGCTACTTTACCGTGAGAAATTTAAGCTATGTTACCTGTATGCAGAAATGATTTTAGCCGTTTTGTTATAAGAGGATGCCAAGGGAAAAAAGCTGATTTCAACAAGGGAAGATGATGAATTAAATAGAAGTTTTACATGAAGGTTAGTACGTACCTCTTTTCCATGTGAGGTAACAACACGTTATTGGTTCCTGAAAATGGAGCATAAGGAATTAAGCAGCCATACAGCTGTCCTAAAGTTTGGCTTCTATCTATGGGTTGCGACCAAGATGTGATCTCGTGATTTCGTGAAGTCCCAAGGAATTCCTATCCAGCAAAAGTAGCTATATCTTTTGTTCCTTTCTATTTCGTTATCGTCTCACTAAGTGATGGCCGCTTTGCATGTCTATCGTCTTGGAGGGTTGGAGACCTGCAGTTCAAAATATCTGGAGTAAACTTCTGATTGTCTTCTCTACAGTTTACTCTAGAACGCTACAGGTGGCTTTGGTATTTTGGTGCTAGTGAAGTCCATATCTGTAACCTGTTTTCACTGCTCACAAATTAGGCTAAGCCTAGATACCTATTAATTGCAGAATTTTAAAATTTGGGCTCAGATCAATTTGTATGCTCATTTAATGGGAAGATATCTGATATCTGGATATTTTGGCAGCAATGGGCTCTCTTAATCTTAGCTCATTAAAGATATGAAAACGGTGATTATGACAAAGACATTTGGGAGAAATAATAACTTGTGGTTAAATAATTCTTCAATGCTTTTGTCACTGGCTCACATCTGTCTGGTCCTTTGACCGTTAGAGCATAAATGTACTTGATTTATTTCCTTCTTACATTATTCTATAGAAGGAGAAAAGCGAATGTTATTTCTTTATTGCACTGAATCATGTTTGACCTTTGACTATCTTATGTTGATATACTTGATTACTTGCATATTATAGGGGCTTGCCATTCATTCAATAAAGTGAAGGCACTTATTTTTTTCATGTAATTTTATGTTTACTCCTAGTCCTGTGATATCTTTATTTTTCATCAATGAGTTTTTTGACCTAAAGAAAAATCATTTGTGAATATAGAGCTTTGAACAAGCATGTCTAATATTCTGATGAAGTCTTGTGTTCAGTACTTCAATTTATTTGGCTACTTTATGTCAGATGACATTGATTAAATTGTTAAGGTCTTACCTGCATTTCATAGATCCATACTATGGTTTCTGAAGAGAAATTTTCTATGCAGTACATTATCCTAAGGTTGCAACCATTACAGTCGCACTTGGAAGATAAATGCCACTTCCACAGATCAAGGCCGCTGGTGCAGCAGATGCAATGAAGACGGAAGATGGAAATGACTCTTTAGACACATTCATCAGACAAGCAATAGGGAAAGAGCCTTTTCTTTCTTTCTCCAGGGCAAATGACAGTCCAGTTCAGTGGATTCAGTTACTTCATGCCTTGGATCAACAAGGTACTAGCAAATTTCTAGTGGTCTAGAGTGTAATAGGATAGAATTTAAGGAGAAGTTCTGGAGCATGTCTTCGTTACAAATCGCTTATACATATGAGGTTACTAGTTCAAAGGAATCTTTTCACTATGTTAAATGAGGTTGACACAATAAAGATGCAATGAATAATGTACAATTTTCTGGGCCCATGCTAAGGCCTATGGCGAGTCTGAATATGTGTACATTTCTAGCAGGTCTGCAGTCAGAGGTCAGGATAAAGGTGTGATTTGTGTAGTAGCACTTTTTCTGATTTTTTTTCCTTCTCTATGTTCCATGGCAGATTTGCCAGGGTGGCCTTTGTTATCTCCATTGAAGGTTCAAATGCAGAAATGTGATAAATGTTCTCGTGAGTTTTGTTCAACTATCAATTACCGAAGGCATATGCGCCTCCATAGGAGGAATTTGAACATCGATAAGGTATCCTTTCTTACATACCTTTTGTCACCTAGCTGAAGCTGTGTTATACGGAAGTCACAAAATGGTTGCTAAATTATGACTAGAAAAACATATCTGTTAAACCTCACTGTCATCCAATTTTTTTTTGTATTTAGCTTTGACTAGTAACCTCTTTTACCTTGGCTTATGTTTATGCACGTTCTACAGGATTCAACTATGAAAAACAGGGGCCTGTTGCAAGCTTTTTGGGATAAGGTACTTAACTTATTATTTTTTGTGTCACCTTTAGGTCATTTCTGTTGGAAGCTCTATTTAAATCTGTAATTTTCGGTTCTTTTGACGCAGCTTTGTCCAGAAGAAGCCATGGAGGTTATCTCATTTGATGACGTTTCTCTTGAGGTAAGAACTTTGTCTGGAATCATGGTTGGATTCACAAGTTTGTGGCTGCTTTAATGTTACTTCGTAGTTAATGTTTATAGAATTTTATTAGTTTTTTGCACCATTTATTAGTTACTATCTGCAGCAGTGTCCTACTACTAACCTTTTCAAAGTCTATAATCTATTAAAATTAGGAAAATTTGTGTAAAAGGACCTTTTCAGTGGTCGATTTTGTTTAAAAGGACCTTTTAAGTGAAAAGTTGTGAAAAAAGACCTTTTAAGTTGTATTATGTTGTGACGGGGTACTAGGCTGAGTTTTCCAGGTGGTCAACGGCGGAGCTCCGGCATTGACTCTCACGTGGGAGTCACGTGACTTTTTAAAAAAGCCCACACGTTTTTTTTCCCCTTTTCCCCCAAATTTCCCTCCTTTTCGAAGTACCTCTTTCATTTTCCCCCTTTCTCTTTCTTTCTCTCTCCTCTTGGAAACCCTAGAATTTGTTCATCTGCAATTGCTCTCAATTTGTTACAGAAATAGTTAACAGATCAGATATTGAGTTCAAAGCTCAACAAGTAAACCCTTCAATTGATGAAGACATTATAGAATGGCAGAAGGATGTGACTAATGCTCTGTCTTCAATTCATTGCTCACCAACAATGGCAGATGGAGTAAATGTCTGGCCCTCCATTTGCACAGTACATAAGTGACGAATTAGAGAGGAGGAGAGAAAAAGAAAGAGAAAGGGGGAAAAATGGAAGGAGGGAAATTTGGGGGGAAAAAAATGTGTGGGCTTTTTTTTTAGAAGTCACGTGATCCCACGTGAGAGTCAATGCCAGAGCTCCGCCGTTGACCACCCGGAAAACTTAGCTTAGTACCCCCTCACAACATAATACAACTTAAAAGGTCCTTTTTCACAACTTTTCACTTAAAAGGTCCTTTTACTCAAATTTTCCTTAAAATTAACATGCTAGGTGCAAGAGTTACTTTCAAATTACTTTCATGTACGTAATCTCATAGCTAGAGCTTATTGGTTTGGAAATGTGATATAGAAACAAGAGAGGATAAGCATATCACATATGAGTTTAGGATTAATAACAGCGTGGAATTTGAATTTTCATACTATATATTCTGTTTGTAGATTTTTTAATATAATTATCTCTATTTTGACATGTTTGGAACACCTGAATTATACACTAATTATATTTTTCATTGATCTGTCTCTAGGGGGGAGTTAGTGGGGGCTCAATTGTGAAGGCATTGACATCATTTATTCGGAAACCTGGATTCACTTCTCTACCACAGAGTTATGTAAGATCTGGGTCTGCACTGCTGGTGAGAAACTAGTTGTGTTTCTGATTATATTTTGACAACTAGCTGCTGCTGCTGCTGCTCTCTCTTGATTATTGTCTCCAATCAAAATCTTTTCTGTTATATCTAGCTTGTTAACAGTATAATCTTAGCTTTACCACTGGTTGTTAAAAATTGCAGGACATTGTCCTGGGTAGACCTTCCAGGTTCCCGATATCGTCACAGGAGCTGTTTAGTATTTTAGATGATGCAAGCGAGAAAACTTTTTTATATGCTGGCACTGCTACATCATTACAGAAGTATGTGTTTGACGGCGAGGCTGGAAAGATTGGGCTTGAGATGAGGAACTTGGTTGCTTGTACCAGTTTCCTTGTTGAGCAGAAAGTGGTAAAGACTTCACTGATTCTTCAGATTTGTGATGTATTCTCTATACAAGCATTTTTTTTTTCTAAATTGTGCACTTCTTCATGATTTATGTTTGGATATTTCATCTGATCTATTGTTTTGCAATTTGCAAATGTTTATTCTCTGTTCATGAGCAGGTCAAGGCATGCCTTGCTGATAAGGATGCTGAAGCTTTAAGGTACCAGAAATTGCTTGTGGAGGAAGAAGAAGCTGCTCAAAAGAGGTATCTTGCTGTTATTATGTTTTTGCAACTTTCTTGACTTAAGTAGTTCACTAAAGATATATATACACTATCCCAAACTACTGGCCATGCTTGACTACTAAAGGTATCTTGCTGTTCAAGCATTATTTGTGCACATACTGCTTTTATTGTGTGTGTGTGTGTGTGTGTGTGTGCGCGTGTGTTAATAAGCTTAATTACAAGCTGACTTCTTCTCTTGAAAGTTCATCTCTGTAAATGTTAATAACTTTTGGACTTCAGTAAAGTCCTTTTACGTAAATTCTGGCATATTTTGAGGATGTTGACCAGTGGATTGAGCCCTTTTTAAATTAAAACTGATGCCTCGGTATACATTGTTACAGACAAGCTGCTCTTTTGGAAAAGAAAAGACAGAAGAAAATTAGGCAGAAGGAGCAAAGGGCAAAGGAGCAAGCCAGGGCAGAAATAGATGATTCTCCTGAAGAAAGTTCCCCTTCTCCGCCAATATCAAGCCCTGTTAACACCCCTGACTCTATTCTAGATGTTCCAGAAATTCTTCACAACTTAACTCTATCTTCTGAGCCTGTTCAAATAATGAATGTAGAAGCAGATAGCACCAAAATTCAAGAATATGAATATGCAGAATTTGATACTTCCCAAAATGTTTATCCTGATTTGGTTACTTACCCCAATGTTGAGCATAGAACATTGCATCGAAATGGCCGAAGGTACGTAGTTAACTCTCGTTGGCAAGTACCAAAATTGCAGAGAACACCTAATGGCTTCCACACCAGTCACAACTATCAGGCACCAAAGCTTGGACCCATGCAAAAGCATGCGTCTTCCAGGGATTCCCGCTCTGCTGCTACCAATGGCATTAAAGTGTGGACCCCAAAACCAAAATCAGACACTGATGAAGAGGGTTGCAAACCTAGGTTACAGATTGAAGCACCAAATCCGCCTAGCCAGGATAAAAAGCATGAAGTTCTAATTGGTTCTATATCTGTCACACTTGGAAATTGTAATAACCTGCAACATGATGAAGATCGTGTTCGAAATTTAGAAAGCAGTGCCTTGGAGGTTTCTACACCAAATGTAAATGGTATTGATGAGAAGCCTATGAAAAATGAGGCAATTCAGGGTACTGCTATTCGTTCAACTGCCAAGTTGTGGAGACTTGTTAGTCGACATGATAAGGGAGGCCAGCTCCCCATCCAATATGCCGGTAGTTCTTGTGAACTTGGTAGCATCCCTTGCAATGATTGTAATGAGGTCCAGCAGACATGTGAAGCAGAGACTTGCTCGAATTGCCGTGGAGATAATTATGCTTCTGTTGAAGGTGGACTTCAGAGAGGCTCAAGGTTTTCCAGCCATGTGGCAGAAGCTTTTCTTGCAAAAAGTATGTTTTCAGTCTCTCTCTCTCTCTCTCTCTCTCTTAACATCTCAGTTATTGAATACTACTCGTAGCTGTTTAGCTGTAATTTGCTTTATAGCCTTGCATGCTTTTCCTAACTTCTTTTGTAGATATAAGGGAATGTGTTTTCGTTAATGAGACCAGTTAGGGTGATTAAAGTTTGTAGAATCTATGGCGTGAGCTGATGTGATATATTGGTATAGATGCTAGTAGTGATATGTCATTAAAATTTAGTAATATGTCAATTGTTTTACTATTTTTTTGACTCTCGATTTTTCACTGTAGGGTTTGATGTGAATATATCTGGGCTAAAAGTTGGTAAGGCATAGCATGGGATTGATGATAAAATTCTGGAATTTTCTTAAAAATTAGATAATGGGTCATGCACCAATCTGTGGAGAGGGAGAATAGTTTAGATTTGCACCCTAAGGGTATATTGGGGAATGAAATAGGTTAAGATTATCCAAAGAATAATGGGAAAAACATTTTTGGACTTGTGAAAATAAATTATAATACTCCCTCCGTCACTTTTCTATGGTTACGTATTCTATTTTGGGGCTTTTTTTTTTCAAGGTTACATATCTAAACTTTCCTAAAATAGACTACTAATTTTACACATCTACCCCCATATTTTTCACACTCCCAATACACTCACCCTCATATTACCTACTTCAAAAGCAACTATTCTCATTTACCAAAATATTTGCATATTTATTTCCATTTACCGAAATATTTACCTACTCCCAAGGCATATATTTCCATTTACCAAAACATTTACCTACTCCAAAACAAATATCCTCATTATACATACTCTCAAAGTTTGTTTCTTCACACCTGCGTAAAAAACCAAACGTAACCGTAGTAAAGTGACGGAGGGAATAATAAAGGGACAGGTAATTTTTTGAGGTATTTAAATCTTGGTCCGAGTGTAAACCATATATCTACTCATAAATTAGTGTACAAGTGGTCTTTTGTTGACATGTTTTGCATTAAAACTCATATAGGGTGGAAGGAGGCTATTGCATCAAGCTATGTGAAGCTGGTCTTACTTCCTGAAGCTAGACCTCCTGAAGGCCCTGATGTGCAGAACGAAAACAAAGGCTCGTCCAGGTTGGAACATCGTCGCATCCTTCATAGTGCAGAGAACCGTTTGGAGAATTACACAAACCTTGAACATTCAGTGGCTGTCAAGTCAAAGGCCAGAGCTAAGGCAGAGAAGGGCAGTAAGGTGAAATACATTCCAAAACAAAAAAGTGCTTATTGAAATTCTGGGGATTCATAGGTGGTATAGCATATGTGCAGTTTTCATTTACTATATCTTACATTCTTAGCAGAGGTTCCAGTTTTAACAGCGGTCTTCTGTCCGGAAATTTTTGGGGGAAGTGATTATTCAGTAGCAATCTAGTTTCTTTTCTTGGTTTCAGGATGCAGTAACCTCTATTTTTGCCTTCAATAGGTTAGATTTTTTCTCATGTAATAAACTGGGGTTTTTATAAGTGATGTTGCAGATCTTACCCTCTGGCTTTTTGTTGGCAATTTAAGGTTTTGGTCTTCTCGTCTCTTTAAAATGCTAAAGTGTATAGCTTCTGAAGTTCAAGATGATAAGTTTAGTATAGTACTAGTTAGGAGACTTAGGACCTGACCAATTGACGTCACAGCAAAATTTGTGCATCTATCATTCTTTCCTGTTATTCCTATAATTTTTTTCTTTTTTTTTTATTTTTTTTGGTGAAATGTTATTCCTATAAATGATATCTATGCTGCATCTGTACATATTAAGAGAGTAAAATGTATTGTGCAATAGTGCTATTTTAAGTCTTCTTAAAAACTAACCCTCAGTCAAAATGGTTTTTTATTTACGTGGAGAGAGTGAATTGTGTATAATTTTATTCCCAGGGATACTAGTAAAAATGGCTTATTATTTATGCGGAAAGAGTGAATATGTATAATTTTAGTCCGGGATACTAGTATAATACGTGGAGTAGCTTGTTGAGAAGATTATACGGAGTAATAGTTACCTCAAGCTTTTGTTGATCTTGAAAACAAGGCGTGTGAAAGGGTGCTTTAAAAGGTTGGTTTTTCTAAGGAAGCTGTCTTAAGAGTTAAGACAGTATGGGGAAGGTATAGATCTTATTATTTATAGCATCATATCCACTGATTTAATACTTAACTGAAATCCACTTTCTACACACACTAATTATAGGATGTATTTTAGAATTTGTTTCTTGTATTACTACTATATAGTATCTTAACATGTCAATACTTTGTACATGTATAATATTAGTTATGCAAATGTTAAAAGGAAAAAAAAAATCATGAAAACTTTGTGAAAAGTGAACTTTTGCTCCACATTGGAAAGATAATGGATACTTTTGATTGATTTTATATGTGGGTTAGTTTATGTTTTTGAAAACATTATACTCCCTCCGTTTTTTTATTTTTTTATTGCAACATAGGTGATGGGCACAAGTTTTTTTTGGTAGTGGAAAAAAGGATGAGAGAGAAAAGTAAAAATACAAGATTGCCTATATGATGATATACATAAACTAAAAAATCAAGCGATGAAAAATAAGGGTACATTTGGTATTTGTAGTATGAAAACAAATATTTTTTTTCCTAAAATAGAAATGGTGCAATATTTGTGATACTTCCTTAAAAGACAAGTGGTGCAATATTAAAGAAAACCGAAAAAGTATTAATAATGATAGACATAGATCGGTTCGTGCACATGATTACTCTTTTTAATATTAACTTTAACACGTTTAGTATCAATTACTAGTCTCAACCTCATAGCTCATGTGTTATATGAACCTCTTACAATTTGTTAGAAATTTAGGTTAGCCAATAAGTTGCCACATTTGAGATCCAAATTGTAAATAATTTCTTCTAAGAATACTTGTATAAACCAAGCAAGATGTATTTTATTATCATGATAAACAAATAGCGCAAATTAAGTGGCAAATTTTTAATCAAATCATCTACTTTTGCTTAAATTAACTACAAGTCTACGGAGTACAATTATAATATTAAATATTACAACATTTACAAGTGTCAACCCTTTGCAAATTAAAATTGACCTCCAAGAATCAAGAATGAATGTATAAACACAAAATTGTTATGGTTTCAAAGATTAAGCCTCTTGAATTCTATAATTGCACAAAGCTTTGAGATAAAAAAAAAATAATAATAATATAAATAAATAAATAAATAAATAAATAAATAAATATGAATCTAGAATAGATGGGGTAGGTGGGTAATTTGGAGGGAGTAATTATAAGTAAGTAACTGATTAGTTGAATTTAGGAAATGCAAATTATAAAACCTACCGTAAATAGAATCGTATTAAGTAAAAATAAACTTTCTACAAAGGAATACGTCTCACCTTAAAAAAAACGGTGGTAGTAGATAGGATGGAATCTTGATACTGGTAGCAACAGTGCCTTGTTCTCCAAGGGCCGCATAATATGTGTATTATATATACCAATCTTTGATGAATGAATGAGATACGAGATTGAGGTGAATTTGTCAGAAAACTCACATTTTTGAGATGTCAAAGATCACCCTTAGGCCATACCAACTGTCTGATGTCGATGATTTTATGCAATGGGCTTGTAACTCAGAAGTGTTAAAATACATCCTATTGCAATTTTTGATAAAAGTCAACTCTTCAAGGGAAGAAGTTGTAAGCTATTTCAAACAAGTGGTCATTAACCATCCATGGTACCAAGCCATCTGCCTGGATGGCCGAGCCATTGGCTACGTCGTACTCGAAACACAAGCTGGTAAGTATGGTATTGATAGGGGTAGAGCTGAAGTGTCCTATGCTTTAGGCCGCGAATATTGGGGTCGAGGCATCACCCCTATTGCATTGAGAATGACTCTCTCTTCTGCTTTTCATAAGTTTACTAATCTTGTTAGGATTGAAGCCTTTGTTCGTCTTGAAAACAAGGCGTCTGAGAAGGCACTCCAAAAGGTGGGATTTTCCAAGGAAGGTGTCCTAAGACAGTATGCTGTATTAGCTGATGGGGAGTGTTTAGATATTAGTATGTATAGTATCTTATCCACTGACCCAATACTTAATTGAAATCTACTAAAGCTTGATCTAGTGGAAAGGTTTGCATCTCACAATCATGAAGTTGTGGGATCCGATCCAACCTCACTAGAGACCCTACACTTTGTGGTGAGGATTCCCATACCCTTTCCCCCTCGCTTTTAAAGGACCTTATATGTTGTTTGATGCACACGTTGTGTTGATGTATTTTCTTTAATAACATATGTTTATATTTAAGTAAGATTTATAAAATTTTCTTGTTTTTGTGATTGATTTTATAAGTAGATTTTATGTTACTTTTTGAAAAGTTCTTACAATGTGAATTGGGCTAAATGTGGACAACTTCAACAATTCATTAATCACGTATGTGTACTAAATTCGAAGGATTAAGTATCAGTTAGATAATTACTAGAGTTAACCTCACTACTCGTATGTGTTATACAACTCTGTTACAACTTATTAGGAACTCACGCAAGCCACAACGAGTTCCTACCTAAGTACTCAGTAGCCACTTTTAAGATCCCAAATTGCCAATATTAACAACTTAAAAAAAAATTGTATGCTAAAAAGGACAACATGAATTCCTCTGTTATTCAGTTGTTTTATCTCTTGTGTTTTTCAAGGATAATGATTTTTTTGTTAAGCTTTTATATGCTTTAGGGCCTACATTTTTTGAACTTATTTCTTAGAATTTGACCCTTATATTCATATGCTTTTGATGTCATTATAAAATTAGATTTTAATATCATTTTTAATTATTATGATATTTATTTTGAATATCATTTATTAATTCTGTATTTTTTTAATATATTAATTATCATCTGCGAGTAATTGTTTTTTTTTTTTTTTTTTTTTTTTTTTTTTTTTTTTTTTTGGTTTTGTTTTGTTTTGTTTTGTAAATCAGATAATATTTTTTTGAGACCACTTCGTGATAATTGATTTTTAAATCTATAAAACATTCCTAATATTAATAAATAACATGATAATATTTTTTTTTTTAATAAAAAGTATGATAATATCATGTAATGAACTTTATGTACATTTTAATTGACATGATCCAAAAACAAAATTCAATGAACATTTCACGATAAGCAAAGTGACAATAAAAGTACATTATAATTGTGAAAATTCTGGGCATTGGCTTAGGAAAAGTCCTGCGTGGTTCCTACACCCAGGTGTATTTTTCCAACAAGGTGTACGCAGGAATTTTCCTAAGTTATTGGGATTGGTTTATATCTTTTAGCTAGGATAGAATCTTGATAGCAACAGTGACTTGTTCTCCAAGGGCCACATAATATGTGTATTATATATACTAATCTTTGATGAAAATGAAATACGAGATTGAGGTGAATTTGTCAGAAACTCATATAATTGAGATGTCAAAAATCACCCTTAGGCCATACCAACTATCCGATGTCGATGATTTTATGCAATGGGCTTGTAACTCAGAAGTGCTTGAATGCATCCTATTGCAACTTTGGATAAAACCCAACTCTTCAAGGGAAGAGGTTGTAAGCTATTTTAATCAAGTGGTAGTCAACCATCCATGGTACCAAGCCATCTGCTTGGATGGCCGTGCCATTGGCTTCGTCGTACTGGAAATGCAAGCTGGTAAGTATGACTTTGAAAGGGGTAGAGCTGATCTATCCTATGCTTTAGGCCGCGAATATTGGGGCCGAGGCATCTCTCCTACTGCGTTGAGGATTGCTCTCTCTTCTGCTTTTCATAAGTTTACTAATCTTGTTAGGATTCAGGCTCTTGTTGGTCCCGGAAACAAGGCGTCTGAGAGGGTGCTCCAAAAGGTGGGTTTCACCAAAGAAGGTGTCCTAAGACAGTATGCTGTATTAGCTGATGGGGAGTGTTTAGATATTAGTATGTATAGTATCTTATCCACTGATCCAATACTTAATTGAAAGCTAGCAAAGCTTGGTCTAGTGGAAATGTTTGCATCTCACAATTATAAAGTTGCGGGATCAAATCTCATTAAAGGTCCTACACTTTGGGGTGAAGATTCTCATACATTTTCTCCCGCTTTTTAAGGGTCTTATAGGTTATTTAATGCACATGTTGTGTTAATGTATTTTCTTTAGTAGTGTAACAAAAGTCGATATTTAAGTAAGATCTATAAAAAATTCTTGTTTTGTGATTGATAAATAATATATGTTGGTTTTATGTTATGTTTTGAAAAGTTCTATGTGAATAGGGCTAGATGTGGACAACCTCGACCAATTTGTTATTTACATATATCAATATATGTAACCTCACAACTCATACGTGTCTACAAGTTTACAACTTTGTTACAACTTACTACCTCCGTTTTTTGTTATTTGCAACAAGTGTACCGTTCACGCATGCTAAGGCAAAAGTTTTACAGCATGGTTATTGAAATATAAGGGCATGTAATTAAGTATTAATCCTACATATAAAAATAAAAAAAAAATAAAAAATAAAAAAAATAAAAAACAAATAAACAAAACCAGCACCACCACCAAAACCCAAAACCAGAACCAGAACCACCACCAAAACCACCGACAACCACCATAACCACCAAACCCGTCGACACTCAGAACCCAAAACACCACCAAAACCACCGAAACCCAACCACCAACCAAGCCTTCACCACCTAACCCACCACCCACAAACCCAGATCCGAAACCCACGAAACCCAAAACCACCTTTCGAACCCAAAACCACCACAGACGCCACCCTAAAACACCCACCTTTCGAACCTGAAACCACCTAACCCACCACCCACAAGATGATGAAGGAGGAGAGAGAAAGTTAATGTTGAAGAGGATGAAGATGGAGAAAATAGATTATGAGGGAAAAGGAAGAAGATGATGAAGGAGGAGTGAGAAAGATAATGGGGAAGATGAAGAGATGATGAAGGAGGAGTGGCTGTTGGGGGTAGATTGATGATTCTGGAAAGATAAAAATAAGTTTAATTGGATTAGATTAGTTTTTAATCAATTATGTTTAAGTATGTAATTGATGTTATAAAGTCTTAAGTAAGGGTGTTTTTGTAATTTCATTTTAAAAAAATTACTAAAAATAGAAAGATTGGGAATGTTGCAAATAATAGGTAGCACCCCTTTCGAGTAAATGTTGCAGATAATAAAAAACGGAGGTAGTATTAGGAACTCAGGCCACAACCGTGTTCCTACCAAAGTAGCTACTTTTAAGATCTCAAATTTCTAATATTAACAACTACTCCATAAAAAATACTCCGTATTTTTTTTTTTTTTTTTGAAAAAAAAAGTAAGATGAAGGATCCTAATGAACCAACACCTCTCATAGACTTAGCCAGCCTAGCTCCGCAGGTTATCGTTTGAGAGTAGAGGAGGGAGGCAAGGGAATCCCCCGTACTTGTATGTTAATACGAGTAAGATAACATGAATTCCTCTTTGTCTACCACGTCTTGTGTTCTTCTATCCACACGACAATCCTCTTACCTCGCCACTTGTCTTCCTCTTACAACCCTTCTTCTTCTCATCCTTTCACAAGCCAGAAAACTATAATCTCCATCATTTCTTCATCCCAAAAAAAACCTCTCAAAATTTCACATCTTTTTCTTCATCTTAATAATGTCAGGTGGAGTTGGTCCAACCTGTGATATAACCTTCCCAAAAGAAGAACAAACCCTTGAAACATCCCCAAATATAACATCAAAAACCCCCAAAAAAACTGGCAAAATTTTCTTCTTATCTTTACGCCAGTTAAACTGTTTAGTCATTATGATTGTATTAGCTGCTAGTGGTATGGTTAGCCTTGAAGATTTTGGTGTTTTTATTTTTTCTGCTATTTACATGTTCTTTCTCTCCAAGTTTGCCTTCCCTACAAAAATCCCTACCATCCAACAAAAACCCGTTTTCGACCCGAATAGCAAGATTCTTGGGTTTTACATCTTCTTCGCCGCGGTGATCGGGTTGTTTTTACCCATTTTGTATATTTCTCATGGTATATTAGAGGGTGATAAAGAAGGGATCAAAGCAGCTGCTCCTCATGTTTTTTTACTAGCAAGTCAGGTTTTTATGGAAGGTGTTTCGGTTTCGGATCGGTTTTCGTTGCCTATTCGGGTTTTTATACCCGTATTTTTTAACTCGTGTAGGTTGATCACTCTGAAAGAGTGGCTTATAGAGGAGATGATGAAGGGTAGTGAAGGTAGGAATGGTGGGTCTTGTGCTAGGTTGTGGGTTGGAAGAGCTCTTGCTGTTGCGAATGTTACTTTGTGGTCTTATAATTTGTTTGGGTTTTTGTTGCCTGTTTATCTTCCTAGATCATTTAAGAAATATTACTCTGGTAATGGTTCAACTACTACTTCCAAGGAGGATTGAGAGATGTCAAAAACTGACCCGACTCGGAATTTGGCGGGTTGAACTCAGCCTGTTTGTGATCAACCCTTCCGGTGTGGTCCGTATATGTAATGTGTTGTACAGTTTTTGCAAGCTGATAATTTGTATCATAGTACGAGTAGCAGAATCATATCCCAAAGAAATAGGCTTCGTTTGGCGTATGGGAGAAATTAGACTGCTTAATTTGTATGTATAGTTTTATGCATATTTTTAGCTATTCAAACTTTGATCTCACACATTCCAAAAGATAACAAACTTGGAATGAAATTATCACTTAAGGTGCATATTAAAGATACTGATTGACAAATTTTATAACTAAATACTACGGAGTAGTATATTTCATGATCGATGATTTCTGTTCGAAAAGATGGCTAATTTTTTTCTGGTTCTCAAGAATATCTGTAAAGACAGTTGTACAAATAAAAATCTAAAAATGGAAAGATAGATTTACAGTCGATTTTCTGGTATGTGTTAAAACATTTGCTAGTTCAAACTGATACAGAAAGCATTGCATTTAACAAGAAACTTTTCTGGTATGTGTTAAAAACATTTGCTAGTTCAAACGGATACAGAAAGCACTGCATTCAACAAGAAACTTGTATAAAAAAAATAAAAAATAAATAGAAGGGACACTTAAAATCCAGGGGAAAAATGTGCAAAGAACAAATCTATGAGCCTATGGTGTAACTGAAGGTATACAAATGTTCAGAACCAAGTTATTTCCCAACCCCAACAATATACAAATTTTTGCAACTAATAGCCTAACCGCCCATTTTCCATCGCTTAAGCATGGCAAATACAGTGTGCAAGATATAAATATATGCACACGCTTAGGACGAACAGCTAACCCACACAGAGGAGCTCATCCTCTCTCATGTCATTATTATCTTTGTTGTAAACCTGGTTACATAAATGAACTGTTTCAGCCAGAAGCCCAGAAAGGACACGTCAAGACACAATCATATCCCTCCAAAACACTACTAGACTAACCTGTATATCTTTGTGTAGAGCCATTGCCACTTGCAGATATGGGGGTAAGTCGTTTTCCTTGGCCCAAAGAAAGAATCTCTTGCATTCTTTCAGGCCAATCTGAATTCAATCTCCGAGCAAAGTCCTCTACCTCCCTATAGTAAAAGTGTACACATCAAGTCGTTGTGTTTGATAAGTAAACTATCATGAATGAATACTTCTACATGAAACAAATGTTTGAGTAGCATTTGATGCAGATTATTCTGCTGGAGCAATGCACATCTGCACATCTTAAATTTGAAATGACAGTGGGATGCCCCAGCAGCTCAATTTCCTTTTCGAGTTCAGGGTCCTAATCTATCTGATCGTACTCGACTGCTGCTAATTTATCTGGGCTTATCAAGAAAACTTATCTTAAAATAAGTAAAATGTAATTTGAAGAAAACAGGACCCAACTTATCCCCAGAACTTCAGTTGTAACTTGTAAAGTTTTATGTCATAATGTTCATGTTTGTTGTTTATTCTTCGAAGAAATAAATATCATCGCAAACATATTTCTTTCTAACATGTTTTAAAATGTTATAGTTCTTTCTAGGGTTAAGAAAATCATACTACTTATACAATTTTTATAAGAAATCATATAAATTTTGATGGCTGGACGTTCCTTGAGGCCAATAAGGGAATCCTATCATCTTGTTTCACCATTTGAATCAAAGGTAGAATTAATCCAAAAGTTGATGGAAGAATGTGCATGTAATAAAATGTTGATGGAAGAATTTATTTGTGGTTGAATAATGCTGGATAATTTCCCAGGTAATAGGATATTCCCAGCAAAACCCCTTAAACAAAACTAAAAAAAAAGGATTTTAGTTTTACCCAAAAACTTCTGTTTACTTAGGTCAATAGAATCATATTCTATAATTTTGTATAGCACAATGAGTGTAGCATTTGAGCAAAAAAGTTGATCATGGATGCATGCCAAAAATTCCCACAAACCTGTCAAGTTCTTCCTTCATTGCTGGATCCAGCTCATCATCAATATCAGCCTCATCAAAGTCAAGCTTAGGTGAAAAAGAGCTCAAAGGGTCCAACGATTCTGAACTAGGACCCGAATCCAACACCATTCCATCATTAGCTTTGCCATTTTCATAAATATGGGATATACCATTAGCCACCTGATTATCACAAGCAAACAAGTATACGTTGGTAGGAGTGTAGGACAGATAGAAATGAGTAGAAGAAAAGAAAGGTCAGTAACCTTGTGGTCTCCATTTTCACTGTTTGAGGACACTTTAGAGTGTGTTTTCTTCCGACGATTTTTCTTTTTGCTTTTATTAGTTTTAGCTCCTTTTGAATCTGCGTGGCAAAACCCAGATAAAGATTGTGGACTAAAGTTAAATCAAGGTGAGCTCAGAAGACATTAATACAAAACCCAAAACATAACACGCTTTCTAAATTCCAGAATTTATCAAACTGCAGGTACATCTTAATGGAGGAGCTTCAAAAGAATCATAACCAATATAATCTAAAAAATTAAACCAACAATGTGGCATAGTAATTATGACAATATTAACTTTTAAATAGACATTTTCTTTACTCTTAGGATATACTAAAGGAGGGGTGGAGGGAAGAAGATAGCAAAGGAGGCTCAACTTCAGATTTCATCCAGCAAGTGAAAAGCTCTATTATATTTTACAATATCGCCAGTTAGAGAGGTGAAAAAAGAAAAATATAATCTACTTATCATGGAGAAGGGAAATCTATCTTGAGAAGGTTACAACGTAAGGACCCCATCCCCACCTAAAGTTTTCATCCCCATCTCCACCCCGCTAGGTGCAAAACTCCAACACCACAACTCAAAAATAAGCAAGCAAGGGTAAATTAAAAGAATAAATGCACTCCTACCAATTTTGGGAAACAAGATTTGCAGTGCTTTGACCAATGATAAAACTTCATAATTTAAGTCTTGATCAGCTTTCAAGCAAAGGCCAAATCACATGCAATATTACAGTTTTGAATTGAGTATCTCCCATAAGAGAAAAAAACAACCCTAGAAAGAAGAAGCCTTTGGGCATTTGAGAAGTTAACACTTTGTTAGGATTGAAAGAAATGGAGGGAAAAGAAGGGAAGGGAAATGGAGGGATGAATTATCTTTCATTTGAATAACAAATGAGAAAGGAAGGTATTTGGAGGGGAGAGAAATGGAAGGATTAAATTGTAAGAAATTGATTTCTCCAACAATAAAGAGATTTGGAAGGAAAACTCATCATTCTCCCCTCCCCTCCCCCTCCCCCTCCCCCTCCCCCTCCCTCTCCCTCCCCTCTTTTTCCTCCCCTTTCTCTACCCAAACACACTATAAAATCCAAAAAGTTGCTCCTTGATCCACAAAGATACTAAATCTTCCCACTAATAATGAAAAAGTTTCATGCATTAGTAAGTGTCATAAAAAATATAAGGCTCTGTTTCATTTCAACAGATCTTTACTGAACTAAAATTACTTTTCTTGATTAAAGCTTATTGTTACTAATAATTTTTTTTATTATTTTTTTTAATGGTAGCAACTGATTTCTGCTGATTTAAACTGATTATTACTGATTTAATAGTGTATATATGGTATGGTTTTACTGTATATAATGACTGAATATTTTATTACTATATAACATTACTGCATATCTTCTATTTCATAACAGTAGAAATACATTTTCATAGTACTAAACTGACAAAGTTTATCAAATGAGGTGATGAGAAAACAGCCAAATTTTATTGTACACATACTCAAACAAAAAGAATATGTTCAAGTCAAACCTCTTTTACACATAAAAATCACCTAGAAGGGTTGGATAGACTCTTGCTTGTCCGTTCAAGATGAACAAGGCTCTCTCAGTTACCCAATTAATCTGCAACCCTCATCCCCCGGCAAAAGAAATTGAGCAAGACTTACAGTTACCAAAGAAGCTCACCAAACTCCCACATCAAGTCACTATTACCACCCAGTTATAAACAAATTTAAAGAAAGTAAGAACCAACAAAGAGAGGCAACAAATTTAATTGCAGCTCAAAATTCTCAGAGGATGCCTCTAACACATGACAGCACCAAATAGTTTAAGGTAGATCACAAATTGTGCACTCAGTTTCCTTAAAGGCTTCTGCACACCAATTAATAAGTATGCGTTATACTATAAATAAACATAAGTTTCAATTTTACCGTTCTCTCCACCATTTATGAACGACAAAAGATCATCAACAGAGCGTTTATCAACATGCTCTTCTTCAACTTCAATCTGAAATACGTGACAAAACACACAAAAGATATTAATGCTCAGCATGTTGAAACTGATATTATTATTAAACATTAAGATACACACACTTTTACACACTTTTTCAATTCACACGTCATAATGCAAACAGCTTTATAAAACAAGATTCTGATCATTAATTAAAAGTGGTGACCCATGCAGCCAAACTTTGGTACTGATGAGCATCCATATTGCCATTCATATGTAACAATTACCAGTATGCCCTAGAGCCTAGTGAAATAGAATTGTCCCACCAGGCATGATAAACATGAATCAACCTCAATAATGCTGAGGAAGCTGTAAATAAGTAAGCTGTAAATAAGTGCAAACACTACGAAGTATTATCTTACACAAAATTAGATACATAGTCTCTACATTTCAAATGGTTTATCAAAAAGCGGTGTAACGAATTAGGGATGATGAACTGATGGTATTATAATATTAGATTGCAGTACATCTGAAACCCCAGTCTAATCCCGATGAAATTGTGTACCCCATATAGGCAGGAGCAAGTGAGAGACCACAGGTGCATTACACCCCTTAAATCAAAATTTTAATATCATGGTTCCTAAATCCAGCTTCCTTAACCATAGCTAGTACTTCAAAAATCATAAATAGAGTAGAAAAATAAAGACACGGACACTACAGTAGCAAGCACCTTCTTCTGTTCTCTTTCTTTCAATTCCTTCCTCTTTCTAGCATATAATCGATTCAGCAGTCGAATGCGGGGATCATCAGTCACATTTTTTAAAGGCTCCAACTTCTCTTCCTGTGATACACAATCAACTTTATGTCAACACGAAGTGAGCCACATGATGTATACATATTTGTCTTGCTACCAACAAAAATTAACCTCTGTAAGATCATCAGGTAAATTGAATATCTCACGTATCTCCTCTGGAGTCTTCCCTTCAATTATTCGAGCAAGTGTGCGGCTTGTAAGATCAACCAAAGGTTTTAATTGAAGGCTATCAGCAGCAGATGTTAACTCGCATAATTTTTTGGTATCTAATCTGATGAACCTATCATCAAATGCCTTCCGCTCCTAAGATAAACAAAGAAGGGAAGAAAATGAGTCATATAGCCTCTAGTACAAGACATAAGATGTTCTTCATGCCTAATCATTAAAATTTAATAAAACAAACAAAATGAAATTTACTTAGCAACTTAAGCACAATATTCTTCCACAATAAAACACCTTAATAGAGTGGCCAGGCACTTGATGAAATCGACAATAATCCAGAATTAAACCCAGGGTTGCTGGATTAACCCGTTCTGGAAGTACAATAGCATTTAATTTAGAGGACCCCATGCCTTTTTGAAGTATTTCGCGGCATATGACGGGGCAAAACATAGCAACTTCTTCCTCAACTTGCTGAATTGACCCATCAGCAGTCTGTAGCCAAACATAAGACTTCATCTGCATGAAGAAATCACAAATCAGATCCTAGGGATGAGTAAAGAAATATCCACTCAAGACAGCACCAAAGTGTGTCACAATATATGTTTTAATAAAAGTTGTTTTAAAATCATCAACTATATTGATAAAATCACAAACCAATTTAGAAAAAGACCTTAAGAGTAAAGGACAAGTTATACTATAAAATAGCCCATCTTTTGGCAAGCAAATGATGATATTAACAAGGCTGGCCCTTAGCCAGTGCAGCACAAAGGGCCCAAATTTGATTGGGGCCTCAATTAGTAGAAAAACCTATACTATATACTAAAATAATCACCAAATTGGACACTTGGCACAATTATATGAAAAAAATTCCCTCCAAAATGCTATTTTATTTTTTATTTTTTAAAAAATTCTATCAAAAAATTTTAAAATTATTTTGACATGAAAAATATTAATGTAACATACAAGAATTTTAAGGATATACATTAAATAAATTTTTAAAAAAATTACATAAGTCAACATTAATAAATCTTGCCATTATACCTGTGCAAATACTAGTATAAATAATATATACACCGCAATTAATAGATATATATACTAAATGTGGCACAATGGTTTAGTGCTTTAAGATACGAAGTGCATAAAAAAGGTCTGCAGTTCAATTCCCATTGATTACCTTATTTTTCCCATTTTTTTTGAAAAAGCAACTAATGCCTATTATCCCTATTCCACAAACATTAATAAAATTCCTTATGCATTTCATTTTTAGACATAGTCCATAACCAATGCCTTTATATTTCATTTTTGGTGATTACAACATTAATATAATTTGTTCTTTGGGTGGGGATAAAACAAGGGCTTTGTTTTGTTAAAAATTATAAAAATAAGCTGGGAGTATAAAAGCTTATTTTTGCAGAGCAAGGATGAGTTTAGAATTTCTATTTCTTTTAATTGGTAATTTGAATGGATTTTATTCTCCTTATTTGCACACGGCCTCCAAAAAGGTTGGATGGCCCACAGACAAGTTATTGAACATACCTCTGATTTGACCACTGCCATTGCTCCTTCTGGCATTAGACTATACCCTTATGTGTAGCTTGATGATGAAAACAGTCTCTAATTTCTTGTGAGAAGAAATTTAGAAAAGCAACCACCAATTTGAAATATATTTGTCTTTATTCCCTTTCACACAACGAACTTTATTATGGTTATAAAAGTCTTAATTCCTTGTTCACAACTTTCACCCACTATGTCACCCAGCCTTGAACATGGAAAGGATGTGACCATGACACCTGACACAGTACTCCTGCAAATGAGACAAGCAGGACATCAATATCAAGGTTTTGTATGCTGGTGAATCCATGAGCATAGGTCATTCAATAGAAAAACAAAAGAAACACATGTATTGGATATGTTCTATACATATTATTTTCAGATAACTTCTGAAGTTCTCTACCTGTAGTTTACGGCTTATTACCCAGTTTATTTTACAAGTTGGTACCTTCAGCTAGTAATAAGTGACAAAGCTATCCTCATTCAGAGCTCCTTACCTTGTTTTGAAAACTAGATTAGAAGTATACTAAGATATTTTTATTAATCAACAAATTTTTCAGAAAAACTGATATTTTTTGGTGTAGTAATGAATATTATGTACACCACTTAATTCTTTCATGGCCATATCAAGCACAACAGCCATATTTTCAGCCACATTTGGTCAACTATTTCCGCCCAAAATAAACCTATATTTACATCTTTAAAGTGCTTAAAATTGCCAAAATATAATACCAATAAAAATTAATCCTTTTCTTTACTGTCACCTAATAGCAACATGCATTTGATTATACAGTAGGTGAATATTTAAGTTCAACTTCAAATTACAACAAACCAGACAATCTCAAAAGAAGGTTTCATCTGGCCCTGTCAGCATGTAATTAAGAACTATTTCTGATTACAGCAGATTGAACAATCTAAAAAAGGTTCCATATTGCCCTATCTTCCAGTACGCACAAGCCACTAGATTTACCATCTCGGGAAGCTAAGTTCCACATCCACAAACAAAAATTTCCGATCGATTTTTGATAAGACAATGCTTTAATCTAATCAAATTTTTAAAACAAAGTATGTTTCAAAAGCTCCTTCGCTTAGACACACAATGCTGCTTGCATCCTACAAATCTTCATTTCGGTATGTGACTTCACCTTCTAGTTTAAAGTTTTCGGCAAGTTTCAAGTTTTCAGCAAACAGAGGCATAACCCATGAAAATATGTTCTTTTCATATAATGGCTTAAATAATTCTTTAATCAAGTCAAAATCACACCCAAAAGTCCATTTCACTTAAAGCAACGGATAGCAACAGTCTCAAGAGTAAGATCAATATGCTAAACCCATTACCATTTTCATCAACCGAACAATCGACGATGCTAATTCAACTACCATACTTCTCAATCAACTAAATGAATCAAAATCCCAACACTATAGAACTCTAAATTAATAACATTTACAAATAAACACCGGCAAACAAAAACACTAAAAATCGAGAATAAAGAGCTCAATTCAATTAAAAATAGTCTCAACAGTAACACCAACATATTCAATACAAGTCCATTTTATCAATTGAACAACCAAACACTTCAAAATGGCACCTTTAAATTGATTAAAAAAACAATAAAAAGCTCAAATTGGCGTAAATTTGCAAATTAATCAAGAAAAGCGATAAACTAGATACAATTTAACCAATTTAATTAGTAAATTAAAGCAAACTATGTTGAATAATCAATCAAATTGCGAGTAATTAGAAGAAGGAAAATAGTAGAAATGACCTTGAAATGAGAAATGGGAGATGAAGTCCGGCGAGAAGCATACGCCGGCGGCGAAGAAATGGAGGAATTGACGGCGGCGAAGATGGAGTGGAGTTGGTGGCAAAGAGAGAGTGTGGGGAGGAGAGAGAAAGAGATCGAAGAAGAAATGAAGGGTACCAAATTTGGGGAGAATTTCAGAGGATGAACAACTGGGTTTGTTTCTACTGTATGTCTTACTCGCGTGTTCTATCTTGTGCAACCTCGTCCTTAAGTGTCAGAAATTGATCCGATTCGAAACAATTTGACATAATCTAAGTAACCCTATTTGAAATGATTTGACATAATCCAAAGTAAACCGGTTCGAAACGATTTGACAAAATCTGAAGTAATCCAATTTATATATATCTGTATGTTTTTGTTGAAAATATTATATTTACCCGAAATGCAAGATATGGTACTTCGTATGTAATAATGCTATGTATACAAAACACAAAATGTAATTTGGAGACACTTACTTTGTACTTTTATTATTTCATTCATTTGAATTTTATCAATTGTTGTTAAGGAAAAAATTATCATTTCTATATACTATTTAAACACGTGGCGCTTTAATTCAAGTCTAAACAACCTTAATTCAACCACTTTAATACTCTTAATGAGCCAAGTTTGAGTTAGGTTGTTAGTTTATATGGCTAATAATTATCCATAGTTAATACTCTTAAAAGTATTACCATACAACATAGCATAAAGCTTTCTTTTACAGTTATTACAAATTTGTTGTGTTATGAATCTCTTTCTGTGTGAGAAGCCATTTTTTTTTTTTTGGAGCCTTGTTTAGAAAATAGCTTTTATATATATATATATATATATATATATATATATATATATATATATATGTATTTTTTTTTTTTTTTTTTTTTTTTTTTTTTTGTGGAGTACTTTAACATGTCTTTGTGAGTAGAATGACCATAATTAAGTTTCTTTCATGTATAAGTAATTAAGTATATAACTATTACAATTGTTGTGCTATGATCCTTCTTATATGAAGAAGCCCATTTAATTTGAGAGAAAAATATGTAACATTGTTAGCCCAAGTGTTAGGACCTCTTTGAGAAGTTTCTTTGTTAAGTTTTGGAGTATTCTTACATCTTGTATGTCGAGTAACTAGAAGTAAATCTTGATAGATGAGAAAAAAAAAAATAAGATAAGTGAGGAAAAAAAGAAAATACAAAGAGTTTTCCAAGAGATGAGATTAATGCTCATCTGTGGTCTAGTTTTGCTCAAATTAAGACAAGTGAATTTATTTCACAAGAGATGAGATTATCTCAACGTTGGTGATGTATTAACTACTAGTCAAAGTTCGGAATGTTGGTTACACTCACATTATAATTCAGGGTGTTATAAATCAGGGCGTTGAGGATAATTTTGCCAATTCGTATCTTCTGTCTGTTTATGCTGACTGACAGCCGAACCAACGCCATCTCCCTCACTTTTAACGATATCTGCCATTCAAAGGTCAATCCTACTCAGCCCGTTCTTCCTCTCTCTAACTCTCAATTAATCTCTCAGTTTTTAGTATTTTCTTCAATTAATACTAACCCTTTTCTTAATTTGAGGGATCAATTGCCAATTCTTTCTAATTCTCCAAAATTTTAAACTGGGTTTCTCGATAATTTATTGCTGATATAAGTTCCTTGTTCACGTACTCAAGTTATGTGATGTTCTGCCAAGATGATTGTTAACTCACATGAATTTGTCACCTTTTAAGAAAATTGGTAAGTAATACGAAGAACTTTATTATCACGGCCCCTTTTGTAAAACGGTCATAAATTATGGGAATGTTAATGAATTTATGTCAAATTTTGCGAAGAATGTACATGTTCAATTCAATACCATGTGGTGATGAATACGGAGTAATTTATTCACATTCCCGCGCTTACCAAGGGCCATAAGATATTTGCTGCGGAAAGATCAAAGCATTAAGTTTTATAACTTATATAATTTTGATAGTTTATGGGGTGCTAGATTTTATAATGCAGGTTTCTACAACTGAATTTGTGTTGTATTAGAATGCAATGTGTTAATTAGAATGCAAATGGATACCAATTCCTCAATTATACTAATTTGGGAATTTAAAGTAATTGTAAAAAATGTACGTAGTGACTAATGAATACGGGGTAGCATATATAATTCATTCATGATTTATGTTACCGGGACTCTTCATTTACCTCATTGGATCCTCGACACTTGACATGGGTCTGGACTCTGACATTTCATTTTATGCTAAAACCATGGAATTTGTTTAATTGTTATTTTGAAAGGAAACTTGAGAAACCTAGATAAAATAAGTCGTAACATGATATCAGCAGCATTTCTTCTGGCAAAAGCTGCACCGAAGGCAGGGCTAAGTACCCGGCGGTAAGCACTGGGCTTTACTGGCACTGCTGCAAGCCTGCAGACCATGTCAGGTAGCCCCTCAGACAGAGACAACGATCAATCCTTCGCCTCGTATCAAGGTTCGTGGGTGCAATGGTTAGTCCTATGCCCTTAGCTATGCTGATGAGAATGGCAAATGGGCAGTTGAGTAGATGGTTGAGTATAAGGGAGTAAGGATCCTTATCGATCCTATATCTCTAATGCATGTTATAAGGAAACATGGATTTTATTGATAGCAAGCTCAGGTCAGAAAATGTTTACATTATTCCTAACTCTAAAGGGCAATGTAGTTGTGGAGAAATATTATTGATTAATAGTTGCCGCTACTAAATCTAAAACAAATACTATGACTTCCTTTTAGCTAGTATCACTCAACTGTTACTGTAAATGAGATTTTCTGATTATTAGTTACATCGCGTCGGTTTTAAGCATGTTCAACTAGTAATGTACATGCCTTTGGTGACCATTTGAAGTTCAGATGGTTGTTAGGAATGATATAGATCATAATTTTCGATGTAGATGAATTTACAGTTTTACATATGATTGCAATGGTAGGATTATACCGTCTGTCTAAGATCTTGGTTTGTGTGATACATTTTATTGTGGCTTTTCCGTATTCCATGTATTGAATTGTTCTCCTTTTATCATACAGGGCTAGCAAGTTGACCGCCATGTGAGGAAGGTTGGAGGGTGCCCAAGACTTAATTGCCACCAGTCAGACAGTCTCAGCATTCCTGTTAACGCTCAAGACGGAAAAAGACTTTAGGATATGTTGTTTGTTGTCCATGGCATTGACAGTACTGGCCTCATTACCATTGTCACAGGTTTTTTCTTCAATTTCACATGTATATATTTTAACTTTGCTTGTGCTAATGTATATTTTTATACATATGTATAAATCGATTTTCTAATATACTTTGTATTCACATAATTTACTATAAAAATATGTTCGATTCTACTTTATTTTCTTTTCTGTTTTGAATAATGCATTAAATTCAGAAACATTTTTTAGGTAAAGCACATGGATGCTGCAAGAATTGAAACTATTGTGGATAAGTTCACAAAATTGGAGTAATGGTGTTATAGTATGGGGTTTCTCTTATGATAACTATTAAGTTGCAGGAGCAAACTGCGGCCTTAATTGCTGAAACGACGCAAGTTCTGCATCATTTGGTCTTCATGTTATGGAGTTAAATTTGAGCCCAATGGTGTCAGTCAGAAATTTTGCATCAGACAATTACTCTAATCATCCCCTGAATCCTCTAATGTAAGAAGATTACATATGTTTAAATGTTTTCCATGTTTATTATAATTACTCTGTGCTTGCAACTACTAGAATCTTCAACAAATATATCATTGCTACAATTCTGCCGAGAATAACTGCATCAGATAAAATCATTGATCGTGCAATTCGTGCTTATTTTTTATGGAATCTCCTGTTATTGTATATTCTTCTTTCTAGCTTTACACAATATCTTTTATCAAAGATTACTTGTAATATATGATTTTATCTTGGCTTCCAATTATGCAATGCAATACTTAAATCCATTCAACCTTTACGGTCCATTTGGAAAGCATCAATTAGTGACTTCATGTGTGATCATGTATTACAATTTCTTTGGCAATGCAAACATTTTCATAAGTATGTTGAAGATCTTGCCACTAATAATGAGGTGGTAACTAAAGAGGGAAGGATTGTTAATGTTTCTTTAGTATGTCATCGATTTAAAAGCTTAAAAAATCCATTTTGATAGACTCAATTATCCATCAAGTAACATGTTAATGTCTTCATGATCCCTTGGAAAAATTAATGAGTTAAAGGTGCCTTTAATTCTGGTTTGTTGGTTTATTTTCATTGCTTTGAGTAGAAATTTGTTTAAATATGGACAGGTATTTTTCATATGCTAAGCAAACTTGACCTCAAAGATGCTCCACGAGCAAGCTCGAGATGTCACTCCGGTGTGGATTGGATATTGCAAGATTTCAGCATGGATTTGATATAGTTATACTCTGGTGAGTGGTGATCAATTATATTAATTTTTTATTGGTTTACATACAATTTGTGTGATATTACTTTTGTGTAATAAAATTCCGTAATAAAGAAGCTTGAAATGGCTACTGCTGACCTGTTAGAGCTGACAAGAGGTAATGAATTATTGGGAGGGGTGATCTTATCTGATTGTTTATTCAAAAGTGCTTTGATATAAATGACTTAGTTATAGTAAAAAAAAAAAAATGTATGAACAATAGTACCACCATTATATATAGTTGGAAGAGTTGAACTCTATTCAGGTTACTACAATTATAATCAAGAGATAATCAAAATGTGGTTTTTTGGAAGAAAAAAATCATCTAGATTTTCTGGATCCTCAACAGCAGAGGAAGTTACTCATGGAATTGATGGTACCGGCCTTACTGCCATTGTCACAGGTTCATTCTACAACATATGTTTTGACAGGCAAACTGTTACCTTACCTGTGTTTGACACAATAATTTAACTCAGCCGATCAATTTAATTAACTATGTCTTGCAGGGGCATCAAGTGGGCTGGGTGTTGAAACAACGCGTGTTCTTGCTTTACGTGGTGTTCATGTTATGATGGCTATTAGGAATATTGCTAGTGGAAGAGATATTAGGGCTAAAATACTTGATGAAGTTCCAAGTGCTAAAAATGATATAATGGAGTTAGATTTGAGTTCAATGGCATCTGTTAGAAAATTCGCATCAGATTATAAGTCCTCTAATTACCCCCTCAACATTATTTTTTGTAAGAACTTTGGCATATGTTTCCTTGTTTAGTACAGTTCTCTTTTCTTTTGCCTTGTCATTGCTATGTGCACGCTTAAAGTTTGTTAAAGAGACTACTGCAGCAATCTATTGATTTTCTGGTTATTCTTAGAAACAATGCAGGAATTTTTGGCACCCCTTTTACTCTCTCTGAAGACAACATAGAACTACAATTCGCAACAAATCACTTGGGTGAGTCTTGCTGTTAGTCAGTTTTAACACAAAAGATTAATGGTATTTCTTACTCGTAGATTATACAAAACAGACATTTCTCAGATAATTAACCATCTGCAGTATATACATCATTATACTCCTCGATTCCCATGATTCTAAACATAATTAACCATCTGCAGGTCATTTTCTTCTGGTACATTTGCTGTTGGACACTATGAAAAACACTGCACTGGAAAGTGGTAAAGAGGGGAGGATTGTTAATGTTTCATCCAAAGCTCATGATTACCCAACTCGTGTAGGAATTCATTTTGATACACTCAACGATTCAAAAGGGTAATATATACATTAATTTCTTATGGATTTTGTAAGGTGCATGTAATAATGCTTGTTTTCTGGTTCTAAGCCTATGAATATGAGAAATTTGAGGACAAACAAACATACTCTTTCATTTGTCAAATGTAATTGTTTCGTGTTATTGGACATTAATCATCAAGGATATCTATTGCAATAGCTCTTAATGATGGAATCTCCGGTTCATCTGTGCAGGCTTGCTTAACAATTTTTTTATGTGCAGGTATTTCGGCCCTTTAGCATATTGCCAATCAAAGCTCGCCAACAATTTGCATGCTAATGAGCTAGCTAGACGTTTCAAGGTAGTCCTTCCATGACAATAATCATATATGAATCACGCATTCATCCCTTCTTACCTGCAGTTTGTTTTCAGATATGATGTATCTGTAATTATTCAGACACTAATTTCTAATTCATTATTCAGAATGACTGGGTTCAGATAACTGCTAATTCTCTTCATCCTGGAATAATATATACAAATATTTTCCGCTATAACAGCTTTTTTGATGGTATGTCTTGCTTTTCTTTTGGAAGTATGATAAGTAGCTTAATTAACTTTTTGAACAGGTATTTTTCGTAGGCTTTGCAAATATTTCTTCAAAGATGTACATCAAGTAAGTTACCTTAAACCACAGATTAAATTCGCCGGTCACCACAATTACAAAAAAAATTGTATGTGATTCAATTATATTCATATATATATTGATGCATGATGATCTTAACTCATTATAGGGAGCAGCAACAACATGTTATGTGGCTTTGAATCCAGAAATAGAAGGCGTAAGTGGTTAGTATTTCTCGGACTGTAAACTAGCCAAGCCTTCAAAGCTATCACAAGATGTCACTTTGGCGCAGCAGTTGTGGGACTTCAGCATGGATTTGATCAAATAATGTGTTACGGATCATCCAACTTAAACTGTGTTTGGACGATTTAGGTTGTCCAAGTTTTTTTTTTTTTTTTTGGGTGCACTCATGGGATTAAGGCTTTGATTGAGAAAGATAAGGCCAAAGAACTTAGGTTGTACTCCGTATTTGATCAGCAAGAAACAACTGGTTTGTAATAAGGGCAAGCCCAAATCACTTAGTATATTGTATTCAATTGTGAAAAAATCATTCTTTACTAATGAAAAAACGTGGTATTTTCCTTTTGTTTTTACAAATGTGTCACAACTCACAAGTGAAAGTGCAAAATGTACTCATCAAAGAAAAGAAAGTGCATGCAAAATGTAAGTTAAGCAAGTATTTATTAAAAAAAAAAGTATTAATTGTATTTTTCCTCAAAAAAAAAAAATAATAACAAAAAAAGCATTAATTGTATTTTCTCTATTCCCCTCAAAAAATTGTATATTATCTATAATTCAAAAAAATAAAAATAAATAAAAAATATTACCCTCATTACTCCTACCATATGTCCCCACCCCCACTAAGTCATTTCCTCATCCTCCTTAATTTTAGTAGCTCTCAATTACTCACATAACCCATCCCTAATTACTCCATATACTATTCTCTTTCCTCCCTCTTTATTTCTTGTCTGACATCAACCTGCATCTTCTTCTTTAACAAAATAAACCCTTGCTTTTCCACTTTTATGGATTTCGTTAGCTTAAATTAAAGCTTGCCCTTTTCTTTTATACACTCTAAATTAAAACATATTAATTTTTTCCTGTTATTTCAAACCCAAATTCGATGTATTCCTCTGTTAGATCTAAACATATGATTGAAGCCTTTGGTGAAGATGTTTGGCTTGATACAGAGTTTCAAAGAGCTATAGCCTGGGATTCCGAATCACAATTCAATCCTGTTGAAGATACTCCTTCAGATCTACGCTATTCAACTGGTTCTCCAAAAAATTATCCCGATTTATCAATTTTGTGTAGGTCGTTAGTACTTCGTAACCGTAATAATTGGGTGGGCGGGTGGTGAATTAGTTTGGAAGAACGTGGGTGGGTGGTGAATTAATAAACTAATCAAGCTATCACTATCATGCTTTTTATGACACAAACCCACTAGCAACCCTTTCCATTTCCCTTGCCTTGGGTTCTGAATCTACAGGAAGCGACTCGAACTTTCGGGAATGGAGGTAGTACTTTATTGATGAGCCTTAGAAACAAATGACAATGATCGATACAGTTGGAAGTTGGTACATTAGAAACAAGTTATTGATGAGCTCAGTACAAGCAAATATAAGCTGAAACAAGCAGAGTAACATAGCCTATTTAATTAATAATATCAATAATAACCGAAGGCATAATAATAATCAAAATGAGGTTTTTTGGAAGAAAGAATTCATCTAGATTCTCCGGGTCTTCAACAGCTGAAGAAGTTACACATGGAATCGATGGTTCCGGCCTTACTGCCATTGTCACAGGTCCATTTTTCAATTCATGTTTTGACAGGCAAATTATTAGTTTACTCGTGTGTTTGATACGAACTAATCGATTTAACTATGTGTCTTGTACGTATGTAGGAGCATCAAGTGGCTTGGGTGCTGAAACATCGCGTGTTCTTGCCTTACGTGGTGTTCATGTTATCATGGCAATTAGGAATGTTGCTAATGGAAAAGAAATCAGGGCTAAAATACTTAATGAAGTTCCGAATGCTAAAATTGATATAATGGAGTTGGATTTGAGCTCAATGGCATCTGTAAGAAAATTCGCATCAGATTACAAGTCCTCTAATAATCCCTTAAACATCATAATGTAAGAACTTTGGTGTCATGAAACATACACTACTCCTTAAGTTTTGTTGAATACATTATTGATTTTTCGGTTATTTCTTAGAAACAATGCAGGAGTGTGTGCACCCCCTATTTCTCTCTCCGAAGACAACATAGAACTGCAATTCGCGACAAATCACTTGGGTGAATGTTCTTTCAGCTATCAGTCCTTTAGTTTAAAGATTCAGGGCGTTTCTTAGACACTAAATCTCTGTTATTCACTATGAGAAACGTTTTTGTTTCTCACAGTGGCAGTTTTGTAAATAAAATGTACCACCGTGACTAAAGTGGTACAATCTTATCATCCATTTCGTAAATAAAATGTACCACCTTAACTAAAGTGGTACATTTTATTTACGAAACTGCCACTGTGAGAAACAAAAACATTTTTTTACAGTGAGTAATGGGGGCGCCCTCTTAGTTTATAACAAGTTCTTATTATATTATAATCTGCAGGTCATTTCCTTCTAACACATCTTTTGTTGGACACTATGAAAAACACTGCACTAGAAAGTGGTAAGAAGGGGAGGATTGTTATTGTTTCTTCTATAGCTCATCGATACGCAATTCGTGGAGGAATTTGTTTTGATAGGCTAAACAATTCACCAGGGTAATACATCAATTTCTTACATAAATGCTACTTTGCTGGTTTTTTTTAATCCTTCTAATCTTTCACTTGCCAAAAGTTATTGTTTTCGTGCTATCGGACATTGTCGAGGATTGCAATATCTCATAGACTCATACTGATGGAACCTTCATCAATCGGCTCATCTGTATATAGGCTTAATAATTGTTAATATGCAGGTATTTTGGTAGTTTCTTTGCATATTTCCAATCAAAACTCGCCAACAATTTGCATGCTAATGAGCTAGCAAGACGTTTCAAGGTAGTCCTTAAACCATTGGCCCCTTATTACTGGCAATTTTCTAATTTATTCGTAGTTATTTTAATTCTAATTTGATAAACAGAATGACAAGGTTCAGATAACTGCTAATTCTCTTCATCCTGGAGCAATATATACAAATATTTTCCGATACAAAAGCTTTTTAAACGGTAAGTTTTTCTTTCCTATGCGAAGTAGGATAGCTTAACTCGATCGTGTACATTCTACTTAAGATGGTTTTAAAAATACATGCTTAAACTGAACAGGCATTTTTCGTATGGTTAGCAACTTTATCTTCAAAGATGTACATCAAGTAAGTTACCTTAAACCAAAAACCAAGATCATGATCACCATACTTAGCTTACAAAAATAAAAGCGCGATTATTTTATGTTCATATCGATCTCCTAATGATGATCTAAAATTAATATAGGGAGCAGCAACAACATGTTATGTGGCTGTGCATCCAGAAGTGGAAGGCATAAGTGGTGAATATTTCAGCGACTGTAAAATAGCCAAGCCTTCAAAGTTATCTCAAGATATCAATTTGGCGCGGAAGTTGTGGGACTTTAGCATGGATTTGATCAAATAATAATGTGTGTTATGATCTTATGGATCACCCAACTTAATTAAACAGTTGAACTGTGGCTCGACCTATATGGTTATTATTTTGGAGGCTGTCCCGATCCATCACTTTGATAAATAAAATATGTAAATAATTGTGGGTATACATTTATTTACTTATTTGCCCTCATTAATGTTGATTATTTTTTTTTTTAACTCTTATTAAAAATATTTCTCTATATATTTTTATTCATTAATGTTGTCAACAACTAAATTTGTTACGAGTACATTTTTTTTACGGCAAGAAAAAATATTACTTCCTTTGTTCTTTTATTATTATTATTATTATTATTATTATTATTATTATTATTATTATTGCACCATTAGTTATTTTATGCTTGCCAATGCATTACTTTGCCTATTAATATCTTTAATTATACTTTTACAAGAATTATAAAAAAAATTGATACTTAAAATGTAGATTTTAAGACGAATCTAATTAGATATCACATGACTATATTTTTTCTTACGGATAAATCACAAAAAATGGTCAATAAACATTATGTGAATAGTGTAATAGTCTTTATGGTGAGAGTGAGGGATAGCTAAGTGGTTAGAGCTTCCCTCCCGATTCCAAGAGTTCCTTGGATCGATTCTCACCCCGCCTATGTGGCTTTCTAAACACCCAAAAAAAATAAGTCCTTACGGTGCAATAATAATAAAAACACGGAGGAAGTATCATTAATGAATAGCCATATGGCATTTATAATAATAGTATTGATTTGTACACCACAAATTTAAAGAAAATAACATAACTTTTACTATCAAAATCATAACTAGTTTGCATATTTGTTACATAAGATCAAATCAAAAGAGTTATCCGGACATGACTAGCTATGACGATAAGCCGCTAGTCACCCTATATCTATATAAGAACCAAAAAAATTAAATTAAATGAAGATAATAATGATAGAGCACGCGTCATACAATTAGAACAATTGGAAGTTGGCACCAAGGAAACAACATATGGTGGTCTAGGAGGACCCCGCTTATTTTTTTGGTTAGATTGTCATTACATGATGAGGACGGCATTCTAATTGTTCCACTAAAACTTAAACTTCATCTGTTCCACAAATACTGCAACAAAGATGAAATTACGCATCTCAAAACACATTTTATATGTTAAATATATATAATTATATAATAATAAAAATTATAAAAAAAATTGATATTCTGAAAGTATTTGACGAGATAAATCTAACAAAACCCCACACGTATATAATTTGTGGTCAAACAAGCATGATGAATAGTGCAAAAGTCCAGTTGTTGTAATATTACTAGAACGGAAGAAGTATAATACCTTTGGATCTTCAGTGGTACTATCTATTTATAAATTTAGTACCATTAAGGCATAAATACATTTATAGTACCATTACATGCATATATGATACCACTAAATATTCAGTGGTATTATTTGATTATCCGGTAATACTACTCTAAATTCAGAATATGTATATATTCATACATGTGTAATTTTTAAATGTCCCTTATTATGCACCAACAATTACAATGCTATCCTCCCTTTGAAATGCCTCGTGGTTTAGTCGGGCTAACTTATCATTGAATTAATTACCGGAGTACTGCGTAGTTAAATAAACATTATTAAAGATAATAATTATGGTGGTCTATTTATTATTCTTGCTGTCTCCTGCATTTTAGTTGTCAAAGTATTCAAATTTTTTTTTTTTTTTTTTTTTTTTTTTTTTTTTTTTTTGGTGCAATCAAAGTATTCAATTTGAGATGACTGAAAATAGTACTCCCAAGTCCCAACTTAAAGATAAATAATTAGATACGTTTGTCAATTTGAGCGTTTCCCTTTGTTAATTGATAACATTTTAATTATTTTATAGATTAAAATAACTTGTTATTTTCACAAATAAATTTTTCCTCATACATAACTACTTCCAATACAACGATCATCATATTTCAAAACATTTACCTACTCTCAAAGTAACTAATTATTTACAATATTGATCTTGAAAGAGTTTGTATTGGTACCCTTTCATAAAGTTTAACAACTTTAGCGGATATTGATTTAAGCCCTATTCACTTCACCTTATTTTGTTGAACTTAACTTATTTTTGCTAAACTAAAATTATATTGTTGATTAGTTTTTTTGTTTTTTTGTTTTTTTTTTTTTTTTTTTTTTTGTTTTTATAATTTTAAAGTGAACTGAAGAGAAACTTAATAATAATTAAGTCCACTCTATTTTTCTATAAAAAAAATAAATAAGAATAAAATAAAATAAATAATTATCTTGTCTCTAGTGGTCTAATTGGGCTAACTTATGGTTGAATAAATTATAGTTAAATATACATTAAATGCAGTAATACGTACAAGCAACAACTCAATCATGAAGATGGAAAAGTGAGATTCCAACCCAGTAGGGGCACTTCTCCTCACAAACCCCCCCCCCCCACCAAAAAAAAAAAAAAAAAAAAAAAAAAAAAAAAAAAAAAAAAACCTCAATCAATGGAGGGTAGTCTATTTATTATTCATGCTATCCCATTTTAGTTGTCAAAGACGTGAGATATTCCAAAATAGTTAATACTAGTAATTCGTAAGAAACTACCAAAACATTTAATGTATATATAAACTCAATTTATATTGATCAAATTTAATTTAAAAGGTGGGAACATCACAATAATTGTTGTACTCTTATTTTTAAGAGCTTCCTCAGCATTTATACATTGCAAGCTAGAACTCAAGAGAAACAGTCAATAGTGTAATCAAAATGTGGTTTTTTGGAAGAAAAAATTCATCTGGGTTTTCTGCGTCTTCATCAGCAAAAGAAGTTACACATGGAATTGATGGTACCGGCCTCACTGCCATTGTGTTAGAATCCAACCTCTTTGTTATGTATTCTTCTTTATTTTCCTTATATTTTCCTTATGTAATGTCTCTTTAGTCTTTCTTTTTATTTTTCTAGACCCTAGGGAGAATTATTGTGTTACTGTCATTTCAACGTTCACTTGTAATTCTCTACTAATGCAATATAAAGCTCTTTAGGGAGCGAATGGTTATTCAATCAAAGCTCTCTACCCCGTTGTTATTGCTTTAAGACTTGTGTGTTGTTTAAGCCTTTATAGATATTGTGCTTGCCTTGTTTTAAAGCATCCCCCACCAAACCAAGAGACCCTAGAGACGTCCTCATTTTCGTCGGTTCCGCTTGTGCCCGCTTCGAAGTATCGGCCGTCACAAGCCCCGACTCCGCACTCGTTGTTCTCGTGCGCCCTCTTGAGACACCGTAGGTCCGTGTTGCTGTGTGCTCACGAACCTCCTTGCTTTAGGCTTGCGCCCTTGTCGCCAAAAGACGAGAGCGCGCCGCACGATCTGGTGTTGAATCACTCGGACCGTGACAGTTTGGTATCAGAGCCAAGTTTGCCGTAGAGATGGCAGAAGAAGGAGAGATGCATGAATACACATTCGAGGAAAGACTTGCTTGGCTTGAAGGCAAGTCCGAACAGTGGGCTATGCTTGAAGAAAGGCTGCCCAAACTCGAGGATATTGTAATAAAACAAGCCGACCAAATAGAGAGGCTTGCCGCTACTGTGGATGGGTTAACAGAGCAACTTAACTTCGTGCAAGGCGTCGCTGATGAAGCACATGATAAATGTGCAACCTTAATGCGTGCCCAGAGAGGGCTCGGGGGAAGTGGAGGTGCCAAGATAAAACCTCCCAAGCCACGGACCTTCAATGGCACGAGAGATTCAAAAGAAGTCGATAATTTCATTTTCGACATGGAGCAATACTTTCGGGTCTGTCAGTTGGAGAATGAGTTAAAAGTTGATACCGCCACTATGTATTTGGTGGATGATGCAAAGCTTTGGTGGCGCACCAAGTACACCGACATCCAAGCTAAGAGGACGTCAGTGGATACTTGGGAGGATCTGAAGAAAGAGCTGATGGCCCAATTTTATCCCGAGAATACCGAGTTTGTTGCTCGCACCAAGCTCGCTGCTTTGCAGCATAAGGGTTCCATCCGGGAGTATGTCAAAGAGTTTTCAGCGTGCATGTTGGAGATCCACAATATGTCCGAGGAAGATCGCCTATTCAACTTTGTGCGTGGTCTTAAGGAATGGGCCCAAAGAGAAATTTGGCGCCAAAAGATTGATACTTTATCGGGAGCCATCGCTGCAGCCGAAAGGTTGATGGACTACTCCTCAGAGAAAGGACAAGGTTTGAAGAAAGGGAATAGCGGGCCGACACCGAACCCTCCTAGGAACTCCGGACATGGCTCGCAACTGAGCTCCAACAACTCGAACAATAGATACAATAGGAGTGGGGGAGAAGACTCTCGGAAAAGTGGAGCTTCTTCCTTCTCTAGTAGAGGAAGCACCCCTAGTTCATCTTCGACAGCCAGGCCATTGACGTGTATCCTTTGCAGAGGACCGCACAAGTGGTTTGAATGTCGACACAAGGGAGAAATTGACAATCTCCAAAAGAAACTGTCCTCCATGTCCTTAGAAAACCCCGAGGGTGAAGAAGCCGATGAGGTAGTACCTAGTGAAGGAGAACATTCCAGACTGGGGGCCATTCGCATGATGTGCGCTATGGGAAGAGAAGGCTCTGAGGGCCAACCCAAAAACTCTGGATTGATGTATGTGAATGCGTTGGTAAACGGAAAGGAAACTCGTGCCATGGTGGATACCGGTGCTACCCACAACTTCATTTCAGAAAAGGAGGCAAAAAGACTTGGGTTGAAGCTCCTACCAGAAGGAGGCAGTATGAAAGCGGTGAATTCAGTTGCCAAACCGATCCACGGCGTTGCCAAGAAAGTAACAATGAAGCTGGGAGATTGGAGCGGACAGGTGGACTTTACCGTTGCGCCAATGGACGACTTCAGCTTGGTGCTCGGCATGGACTTCTTACACTTTAGTAAGGCAGTCCCGATGCCTTATCTTAGATCTATTCTGGTGCCCGGACAGCAACCATGTCTCCTCCGAACCTGCGATTCGGGAAAAGGGCCGAAAGGGCCCCTCCTTTCAGCAATGCAATTGGAGAAGGGGTTGAAGAGGAACGAGCCCACGTTCCTAGCAACACTTTCCACGAAGGAAGATGAAGCAAGTGGAGACTTTCCGCCTGTAGTTGCCGAGCTACTATCAGAGTTCCAGGATCTCCTCCCGAAAGACCTACCAAAAGTTCTCCCACCTAGAAGGACAGTGGACCATGAGATTGAGCTGGTTCCAGGGGCGAAACCCCCAGCACGAAGCCCTTATCGCATGGCCCCCCCAGAATTGGCTGAACTCCGGAAACAATTGGAGGACTTGCTTGAGGCAGGCTTCATCCGCCCATCAAAGGCTCCTTATGGGGCTCCTGTGCTTTTTCAGAAAAAACAAGATGGAAGTCTTCGATTGTGTATCGACTACCGAGCATTAAATAAGGTTACGGTGCGCAATCACTACCCTATCCCTTTGGTGGCGGATTTGTTCGATCAGTTAGGGGATGCAGTGTACTTTACAAAGCTAGACTTGAAGTCTGGCTATCACCAAGTTCGTATCGCCGAAGGAGATGAACCAAAAACTGCTTGTGTGACGAGATACGGGGCATACGAATGGCTAGTCATGCCCTTCGGCTTGACGAATGCACCTGCTACGTTCTGTACTCTGATGAACCAAGTATTTCGAGAGTACTTAGACAAGTTTGTGGTCGTGTACCTCGATGACATCGTTGTCTACAGCAAGACTTTGGAGGAGCACCTCGTGCACCTAAGATTGGTCTTCGAGAAGCTGAGAGAACATCACCTTTTTGTGAAACGAGAAAAGTGTGCCTTTGCGCAGGAAGAAGTCGGATTTCTTGGACACTTTGTGGGGAAGGGTCGATTGAGGATGGACCCAAAGAAGATATGTGCTGTTCGCGATTGGCGGGATCCCAAGAACCCCTCTGAGCTGCGATCCTTTCTAGGACTGGCGAACTATTATAGAAGATTCATTAAGGGATACTCAGAGATCGCAAGTCCCCTCACCGACCTATTGAGGAAAGATTGTCGTTGGGAATGGTCAGGGCCCCAGAAGGAAGCTTTCCAGAAGTTGAAAGAAGCAATGGTGAAGGAGCCGGTCCTTGCCCTTCCAGACATCACCAAACCATTCGTGGTCGAGACGGATGCTTCGGATTTTGCTTTAGGAGGAGTGCTCCTCCAAGAAGGACATCCTATTGCATTCGAAAGTAGGAAGCTGAATAATGCGGAGAGAAGGTATGCGGCACAAGAAAAGGAGCTACTAGCCATTGTGCACTGCCTAAGAGGATGGAGGCACTACTTGTTGGGGTCAAAGTTTACCGTCCGCACAGACAACACCGCGGCGAGTCACTTTCTCACCCAACCCAAGCTGACAGGAAAACAAGCTCGGTGGCAGGAGGACTTAGCTGAGTTCGACGTGGAGTTCACCTATAGAACGGGATCCAGCAATAGAGTTGCCGATGCCCTGAGTAGGCGGGCCGATCTTGCTGCGATGTACAAGTTAGCGCCAATGACGGCAAGCAGCATTGCCACATCCGTTAGAGATCAAGTTCGTGCTTATCTCCCAGATGATCCGATGACAAAAACCATAACAAGGATGATTGAAGAAGGGAAGACTAGACGCTTTTGGTTGGAAGATGGCCTCATCTTCACCAAAGGTACAAAGCTGTTCATCCCCAAAGCAGGGGGATTGAGGAAAATGTTGTTGAAGGAATGCCATGATACGCTGTGGGCGGGACATCCAGGTTGGCAGAGAACCCTCAGTCTACTCGCGATGGGGTACTACTGGCCAGGAATGAAGGAAGATGTGATAAGCTACACCAAAACCTGCCTTGTGTGCCAGCAAGACAAGGTTGACAGATAGAAGCCCGGAGGCCTCCTTGAACCTCTTCCTGTACCAACTCGACCGTGGGAGAGTGTGTCGATGGACTTCATTAGTGGCCTCCCGAAGGTTGGCCAGTTCTCTTCTATCATGGTGGTGATAGACAGGTTCTCAAAATACGCAACGTTTGTACCCTTGCAGAAGGCTTGCGGAGCAGAAGAAACGGCATCTCTCTTCTTTAAGCATATTGTGAAGTACTGGGGATTGCCAAAGAGCATAGTAAGCGACAGGGATACCAGATTCACGAGCATATTCTGGTCTGAGCTATTCCAAATGATGGGGTCTGACCTCAACATGTCGTCAAGCCACCACCCTCAATCTGATGGGCAGACAGAGAGATTCAATGGGCTTCTCGAGGAATACTTACGTCACTTTGTGAGCGCCAACCAGAGAGATTGGGTGAGACTCTTGGACGTCGCACAACTTTGCTTCAACGCTCAAAGGAGTTCTTCTTCCAACAAAAGCCCCTTTGAGTTGGTCATGGGTCAACAACCTCTCCTCCCGCACACAGTGGCTGACTGGGAGGGCGGTAGGAGTGCTCAGGCTCGAGATTTTACAAGAGAGTGGAAGCAAAACACCGACATTGCAAAAGCCTACCTAGAGCGAGCATCGCGCCGGATGAAGAAATGGGCTGATCAAAACAGAAGGCCAGTTGATTTTGCTATTGGGGACATGGTGATGGTGAAGGTCTTACCAGAACAGCTGAAGTTTCTCAGAGGGAGAGATCGTCGCCTCATTCGGAAATATGAAGGCCCCATCCGCATCACTAAACGGATTGGGAAGAACGCATACAAGGTAGAACCGCCTGCGTGGATGAGGATTCACCCCGTCTTCCACGTTAGTCGTCTAAAACCCTACCATCCAGATCCCGACGACAGCAACCGCAACGTCAGCTACCGCGCCAACATCAGAACCAGGGCAAGAGCCACCCCTACAACAGAAGACTGAAGCTGCTAAGATCTTAGTGTAGATTTTGTAAGTCGACGAGGACGTCGACGAATTAAGTGGGGGAGGATGTTAGAATCCAACCTCTTTGTTATGTATTCTTCTTTATTTTCCTTATATTTTCCTTATGTAATGTCTCTTTAGTCTTTCTTTTTATTTTTCTAGACCCTAGGGAGAATTATTGTGTTACTGTCATTTCAACGTTCACTTGTAATTCTCTACTAATGCAATATAAAGCTCTTTAGGGAGCGAATGGTTATTCAATCAAAGCTCTCTACCCCGTTGTTATTGCTTTAAGACTTGTGTGTTGTTTAAGCCTTTATAGATATTGTGCTTGCCTTGTTTTAAAGCATCCCCCACCAAACCAAGAGACCCTAGAGACGTCCTCATTTTCGTCGGTTCCGCTTGTGCCCGCTTCGAAGTATCGGCCGTCACAAGCCCCGACTCCGCACTCGTTGTTCTCGTGCGCCCTCTTGAGACACCGTAGGTCCGTGTTGCTGTGTGCTCACGAACCTCCTTGCTTTAGGCTTGCGCCCTTGTCGCCAAAAGACGAGAGCGCGCCGCACGATCTGGTGTTGAATCACTCGGACCGTGACACATTGTCACAGGTCATTTTTACTCTTGTGAATAATAAAAACTTAATAAGTAGTATTGATTTATTAAACAAAGGGTGTTTCAAAACAATTATGAAAAACTTCTTGTACTCAGCACAACTTTTAACTCCGTTATTTATCGATTGATCCACGATCTGCAGGAGCATCGAGTGGCATTGGTGCTGAAACATCACGAATTCTTGCTTTACGCGGTGTTCATGTTATCATGTTAGATAAGAATATGGCTGCTGGAACAAAGGTTAGGAATAAAATACTCGAAAAAACTCCGAGTGCTAAGGTTGATATTGTGGAGTTGGATTTGAGCTCAATGGCATCTATTAGAAACTTTGCATCAGAATTTAAGTCTCTTAATCAACCCTTGAACATTCTCATGTAAGAAAGTTTAATTTGCATCTTTTTTTTCTATTTCCCTTGAGTCTTAGATTCTTATGCAATGTAGTATAACTGCTTGTATATTTTCACTTTGTTACCTAGAAATAATGCAGGAGTGTTCGGCTGCCCTTTTACTCTCTCCCAAGACAACATAGAACTACAATTCGCGGTAAATTACTTGGGTGAGCAATCTTGCTAAATACAAATTAAAGGAGCATATATGTAGATTCTAGGTGCATCCATTGCTTTCTCTCCTCTTCCGTCTCTGTTTAGTCCCACATTAAGAATCAAAAAAAATTGCAACCTACATTTTGTAGACTAATTATACTTGCACCTCAACTTCCATGATTTAATTATTATCATCTGCAGGTCATTTTCTGCTAACACATCTGCTGTTGGACACCATGAAAAACACGGTACTAGAAAGTGGTATACAGGGAAGGATTGTTAATGTTTCATCAATATTTCATCTATTCACATATCGTAAAGGAATCCTTTTTTATGAACTCAATGATCCATCAAGGTAACACATTACTTGCTTCTAGACTACGTGCCCTTTGGTTAATTAATGTGTTATAGGTGTATAAATGAAATGATTCTAATGTACTCTTATGACTTTTGACTACCACATTTTTTTTAAAATGGATGGTTGAGATTATTTGTTTTTTGATTTATTTTTAATTAGTAACTTTAATAAAAAAAATAATTTTTTAATTATTTTGAATATATTTTTATCTTCTAGAAATTATTTTTTAACATTTTTGAAATTTTGGAAATAAAAAATATATATATAATAATTAAAACATGATATTTAATTAAAATTATTAATTCAAAATAAATCAAAAAACAAATAATCTCAACCATCTATTTTAAAAAATTGTTGTAGTCAAAAGTCATAAGACTACATTAGAATTTTCAGTATAAATGATCATGGATTTCTTATTGCAAATTTGCAAGAAGATTACATATATAGGCCGGGAACCATAGATTTTAATCTTATGTACATACAAAGTATTTATTACTAAGAGCTGTATCTTTGATTGCACTCATCCACTATATATGCAGGTACTCTAGATGTGCTGCATATGGTCAATCAAAACTTGCTAAAATCCTGCATGTCAGAGAGCTAGCAAAACAACTTAAGGTAACGCGTTCAATAATGTTATTTCGTGACAAATAATCCATCATGTACACACTAATCAGAAATTAGCCTCTCTGATTCTGCAGCTTTCAAAATACAACTACGATTATTCTGATGAAAATCCTTTTGTTGATCAGGATGATGGGGTTAATATAATAGCTAATGCAGTTCATCCTGGATATGTTTATACCAAAATAGTCAAAAGTAACAGATTAGTAGATGGTACACGTCACTTTTTATTGCAAATTGTTGTATATCTGATCTATTATCTTGCCTTAGCCTACTCTTGTTTATGTTTTACAAAATTTTTTTGGACGGAATTATGGTTTAATTGTGCATTGCTTGGATGCAACAGCTGTTAACACACTTTCGAGACCTATTAATTATTTTCTCACTAAAGATATTCCACAAGTAAGTGTCGTGAAACACAGCACACATGATCAAACTTGCAATGTTTACTCTTTCGCTTCTTCTGATGATAAACTCGTTCGTTGCAGGGAGCAGCGACGACATGTTACGTGGCTTTGCATCCACAAGTAAAAGGCATAAGTGGTGAATATTTCAATGACTGTGATTTAGCCAAGCCTTCTAAGCTAGCTCAGGATAACACCTTGGCTAGGAAATTGTGGGAGTTCAGCATGGAGTTGGTCAAATAATGTGTCAAAACATAATTATTAATGTGTTGGTTCTTGATGTTTAAAATAAATGTAATGCGTAATATTATGTAAAGCAACATTAAAACTCAATGATAAATAATTATACCATCTCCGTTCAAGTTATTTGCAACAATTAGACATTTTCTACTCACACTTTATATCAAATCATTGCAAATAATATGAAACTGGGGTGGCATGTATTGTGTATATAATAATACAAGTTAGCGTACTGCTTTGCAAAATAGTACTTGTACTCTCCTTTTTTTTCTATACTGGTTTAGATATTTTATTTTATTTTTGAACAAAATCAATTCATTAATAAAAATCAACCGACATTTACAAATGATTCTAAATTAATAAATACATAAATTAGAATCAAATAAAGGTTTCCTTCACCAAAGCTACGATCGTTGAAAAGATCTTGCAATGTGGTACATCCCCTACACACAAATCGCTGAAAAATGCAGCCTTTTCGGAGAGACGGTCCAACGATTTGTTGTAACCGTAAGGATGATTATTATATGATTCGCTTGAACACATTTGAGAATTCGACAACCGTTGCGATCCCGAACAATATTTACCAATGAGCTGACAATAGGGCTAGAGCTGTCAATTCAGGTAAACAGGTCAGGTTAGTGTGGATTAGGTCAACTCGGGTTGGGTTAATGTCGTAACCTATGCGGGTCGGGTTCGGGTTGAGTCATGCTTGAGTTGGGTCACGACGAGTCATACATCTTATCGAGTTTAGGTTGGGTCAATAACAAGTCGGTTACATTCGGGTCAGGTGAATAATAGATCGGGTTTAATTCGGGTTTTAAAGGGTTAAAACAAGTTAGGGTCATTCTCGGGTTCGAGTCGGGTTCGATTCAAGTCAATAATTTGTGAGTTATAATCAGGTCAGGTCATTATCGGGTTCGTGTCGGGTTCGGTTCAAGTCAATAATTTGCGGATTATAGTCAGGTCGGGTCATTTCCAATTCTGATCATGTTCGGGTTCAGGTCTCAAATATTGGGTTAATATGGGTCTCGGATTAATTTCAGGTCGAGTCATATCGGGTTTGGGTACATAGAGTAGTTTTAGCCTTACGAAGTTACGACTTTACGAGTAACTTAGTTTATATTTAGCATATATTCTCTAATTATTATATATATCTTTATTTAGCTAGTCAATATCTACAATAATAAATATATATACTATAATTAGAGAATATATGCTAAATATATTCTAACACTTAGAAATGAGCAAATAGCTATAATTAGTTTATGTAAGGAGTCGTATGTATTGAACTATTGACTATTGAACTTCTCATAATAACTTGTTTGCACAAGCACACAACTACACAAATGTATGACACACACAAGATGTCATTAATTTCATATAATATAATCTTATATTCTTATTTGCGTGGCGAACATCACATTCTTAGTAGAAATAATTTAGAATTGAGTATGTAACTATATAATTAACTATATTGATATGGTGGTCTATATTGAATTTAAGGTGATTTGAAATCGGGTTAGGTCAATAACAGGTTAGATTGAGTTCGAAATGGGTTAGGAACAATTCGGGTTGAATTTGGGTCTGGTCAATCACAAGTCGTATTGATTTCGGGTTGGGCTAGTAACAGATCGGGTTGAATTTCTAGTCGGGTTAGTAACAGGTCGGGTTAAATTCGAGTCGGGTTGAATTCGAGCGGGGTAGTAATAGGTTGGGTTAAATTCGGGTTTTGACAGGTTAAAACGGGTTTGGTTCAATCTCGTTTCAGGTCGGGTTCGGTGGTTCAAGTCAATAATTTACGGGTTATATTCAGGTCGGGTCATCTCCGGGTCGATTCATGTTCGGGTTCGGGTCTCAAATACTCGGGCTAACCCGGGTCTAGGGTTGGTTTCAGGTCGGGTCATATCGCGTTCGGGTCACCATTTTTTCCGGGTTTAAATGGATCGGTTAATAATCGGGTTCGGGTAAATTTTTCAGGTCGGGTCAGCTTTTGACAGCTCTAAATAGGGAAAATGATGATTACTTTTTTTTATAAGCCCTGACACACAAATAAACCCTAACGAAAAACAAACAACTAAACTAACAAAAACTAACGACTCCACCATAGGGAGACGGACGAATATCTACACTACTTTTGTAAATTTATTGATACCTAAAAAGCAACGTTGTAGAAAAAACAAGATTAAAGGGTCGGAAATAGTCTAATTTCCGAAGAAATTAGACTATTCTCGGCCTAAACAACCAAAATATTATAAACCCTAGAAGAGAAGAGTAGAGAGGGGAGAGGAGGGAACAACTAGGATTTTTACTTTATTTTGTTTTCTGGTGTTATCTAAAAGCTCGTGTCATTGTTACTGGTTTAGATATTTGACACTAAATACAATTTGAATTAATTTTCAAAATTATTCACAACTATTCGGAGTAAATAATTTTTTTTTTTTTTTTTTTTTTTTGGTGAAACTGCAATTTTGTATAAACATTTATGGTAAGATATACAAAAAAACAATGCATAATTCGGAGTAAATAATTTTTTAGGTTCTTATATGCAAGTCATTTCCTTCTATTCTTCTAACACATCTTTTGTTGGACACTATGAAAAACACTGCGCGAGAAAGCGGTAAGGAGGGGAGGATTGTTAATGTTTCATCTATAGCTCATCGATACACAATTCATGGAGGAATTTGTTTTGATAGGCTAAACAATTCACTAGGTATGTAATACATCAATTTCTTACATATCTTGTATGACTCATGTAAATGCTAGATTGCTGGTTTTAATCCTTCTTATGATAGATAACTAGTATGTGGTTCGGGCGCTACATCGGGTTACTCCTTTAATCAAACTTAGCGATTATATGTATTTAATACTTTTGGTTTCTTTATTTCCTTTTTTAATTAGTCCTTGTGATTTGCAATTATATACATTTATTTTTCATATTTATAACATATGGTTGCTAATTGGCTTAGATCAAACAAATTTTTAAAAATTAAAAAAAAAATCCCAGCCATCCCCTCCCCCACCCACTGCCAGCCCCCCTTCCCCCGCCAGCGACTGGCGGCCAGTGACACCTCCCTCCCCGGCGCCGGCGTCGGCAACCCACCCCTCACCTTATCGTACCAGCTCACGCGCAATAGATCACCAATTCTAACGGCCTCACCAAAACTCCCTCGCCAACAACACAATTAACCAACACCCACACGCACCACCAATTAAACCCCCTCGCGCACAAAAGCACACACCGCTTCCAGGCTACTGCTACGCCAAATGAACAGCCACGCACCCCGCATCTCCACCACAACAACCGCACTTAGAAACAACCGGCACCAACTCCATATAGCAGCCCCAAAGTAGAACAAAATAGAGAATCAACATGGTTCGGGCGAACCAAGCAAATCCAAATTCAAAAAAATCGAACCATTTCGCTATTAAGCTTTGCCTGGTTTAATGAAGCCCAAAGGTCAAGAACTCACGATAGAGGGAAAGGGGGCGGAGGAGGGGTGGTGGTGAGGAAGCGGGAATGGGGAAAGGGAGGGGGGTGGTCGCCGGCACTGGGGGACAGAGGTGATCGTCATACAATTGGAACTTGGAACTTTGGAAGTTGGCACCAAGGAAACAAGATATGGTGGTCTAGTTGGGGCTAACTTATCGTTGAATTAATTACAGTTAAATAAACATTAAAGACAATATTTATGGCCTTTTATGGTGGTCTATTTATTATTCCTGCAGCCTGCTGTCCCATGCATTTTAGTTGTCAAAGTATTCAATTTGAGATGTCCGAAAATAGAACTCCTAGTCCCAACTAAAAGATGAATACGTTTGTCATTTTGCGTTTTCCTTTGTTAATAAGTGGTTACATTTTAATTGTTTTTTAGATTAAAATAACTTGATATTCACATACATACCTACTTTCCGTACAACTATTATCATGCATGTATCGAAACTTTTACCTCTATTCTCAAAACAATTAATCATAATTACAAAAATATTTACCTACTCTCAACGTAAATATTCTTATTTCCAAGGTTGGCTTAATGCCTTCATGCTTGACATATGTGATATCTAATCATTATTTTTCACTCTCTTATCTTCAATAGTAATTACATAAAATCACGAAACGTAACAGTTTTTCAAAAACAGAGAGTAGTAAAAATTGCAATAGTTCGTAATAAACCACAAAACTATTTAATGTGCTCGTATAAAAAAACACAATTATCATTGGTCAAAAATCCTTACATTTTAAAAAGTTTGAAATAAATAATGTTTGGACAATTATACCTTGTATAATGTTTATTTAATTATGTGCCAATAATAATGTTAATTGCCTCTTTTTTTTAACTATTAAGAGTAGTGTGTGGACATTTATACCTCTAAAAGTATTTGTTTACATATTTTCCCTGTTTAATGTTTCCAATAACTAAAGTTGTAACATAAATTCAAATTGAAAGAACTTCCCAGATATGAATAGATATGGCACGTACATGAGCATTAGCCACTCTAGTAATTTAAAAGGTGAGAGCATCCTAATAACTGATATACCCTTATTTTTTTCATTCCATAAATATGACAACTAAAATGAAACGATGGTACTTGCTAAGACTCAAGAGTATCTCAGCCTCAATTTCTACTTGCTTAATACTCAAGAGAAACAATCAATAACCAATAATTAATAAATCAAAATGTGGTTATTTGGAAGAAAAAATTCATGTGAATTCTCTGGATCTTCAACAGCAGAAGAAGTTACACATGGAATTGATGGTACCGGCCTCACTGCCATTGTCACAGGTTCTTTTCGCTCTTGTTAATACTCTTAATTAATACCAATCGTAGTAATTTACCCTCTTCGTTCCTTTTTGCTTTTCCTATTTTCCATTTTACACCCTTAACTGCTCGAGTAATTTTTTCTTAGATAATTTTTAATTTTGCTTTAATTAAATTATTTGGTTACTACTCTAAGATACGGTCTACAGCTTCTAATTATATGACAGTTATGGCATTTGCACAAATAATGCAATAAAAACTCCATTTATCGATTGAACCACGACCTGATCTGATCTGCAGGAGCATCGAGTGGCCTTGGTGCTGAAATATCACGAGTTCTTGCATTACGCGGTGTTCATGTTATCATGGTGGATAAGAATATGAAAGGTTGCATCAGAGTTCAAGTCCCTTAATAATCCCTTGAACATTCTAATGTAAGAAGGATTTCAATGTTTTTTTCCTTCAGTATTAGGTTCTTAGTTGATAA